TTATATTATTATATTATTATATTATTATATTATTATATTATTATATTATTATATTATTATATTATTATATTATATAAATATTAATGCAGCTAAGTATCGGTGCAGCTAAGCAAATTGTACCTTAGTTAGTATGTACGACTAAACGTTAATTTCAATGCTGAATTTTATTAACTATCCTAACCTAATTGCCTCAAAATTAAGTTATTTAAACGGAACAAAACAAAAGCTACAGACGCTACAGTTTAATTTACCTTATTCCCATCCAACGGGTAGCTAGAATATTTAAAGAAATAGCAAACTGTTAGTTTTTAAAGCAGCCAATCACTCCTTTGTTAAATAGTACAAAGGTATATAGCTGTGCTTCCGATTTAGAATATTACAGGAAAATAAAGATGTGGAAGTAAGCTTGCTTATCCTTCGCAGAATATTATAGATTTAATTCGTTCCCTTACTGCCACATTTGAAATGCAAATTATATTTTCCCTACAATATGCATAGCATCTTGCTAGATTGATTTATAAAATTGCGCAAGTTTCAACCACAAATATTAGCGAATACTTTGAATGCATTCGAAAAGTGTTAGCCAACAATTGTTGCTATAATTGAAAGGAATTCTTTTGGACATTTTGAAGTAGAAATCGAACAATTGTTTAACCAATTCCTTCAAATACAGTCGTCCGAAAACTACAGAATTTCAATTTAAACTTTTAATTCTGTACCTGCTTCTGTGCAGAGTGAAAATAAATTTTAATTTGAATGCGCCGGGGCAGACAATACGCACTAATGCGGAAAACAAGAAAATTATCACGAAAAGCGCATCTATTGACATTCGAGCGAGACGAAGACACAAAAACAAGCTGCGATAAGCTGCAAAACAACTTGAGTTCAAATCTCCAACAACTACAAAACGAAAATGGAAAAACACGATAAGAAAAATTCGTTAACAGTTTAATGTTTTTGCTGCTGCTGTTGAGCCACAACTTTTTCTTTCTCTATTTTTATTTTATTTTTTTTTTTTTTATTTAATGCAATAGAAAATCACGCGGGGAGTTTTCTATTAAAATTCTGTCATTTGCCAATATTTAAAGGAACAGCAGCACGACACCAGACTGCATTTATATACTTACATATGTATGGAGTATACACTCGAAGAAAAGGGTGCATGCTTTTAAGCTAAAACTTGGACAAATCGGCCACATATGTATATACCTATAGAAATCACATTTGATCCAAACTGCTTTATTTAATTCGTAAACATTCTAAAAAAAAAAAGTTTGCTTGACATTTTTTGGAATTGCGGCTACGAAATCATTGAAAAAGGTGTTCAATTATTTTCGGGAGTCCACGACATCGAGAATTTGGAGTTCTGTGAGGATATTATTGCAATCGTCCCTGTTAACGATGATTTCGGAAAAATAAAGAGAGAGCCTCTCAATATATTTTATGGATTAACTTAACGCTGATTGATGTTTTTTAATAAGAAGCACATTCCAGCCAGATTGCGCCTGAATATTTGGCCAAACATGAAAGATCGTCAGTTTTGTCTCGGTAAGATTTTTTCTTGTTTCTGAAACTAACATATCCGCTCAAGAAAATTTGAGTGTTGAAAACTTGTATATGTATGTGGACAATTGGATTATTCAGCTTGAACTGACATGCTGGTATTAACTCAAAAGGAGCATATTTTCAAAGCAATAATTAAGATTTTTATTCCAATACATGCAATACATACATCCTATATCAGATTATGTAATTAATTAACAATAATTGATGGCTAATGTACATTTGGCTTGTGAGGAATGGCAAGAAAATGGTTATAGCTGTCGGTTATCGAAGAAAATGTCTAGAAAATCATCTAAAAATGAATAGAAACATAGCTAGAAAATTCCCAATAAATAGCAAGAAAGTCCACTAAAAACAAAGGCTAGAAAACTTATAAATAAACCTTATAAACTTATGAACCTATAAATGGTTAGAAACCCACCAAAGAATGGGCAGAATATGCTAAAAAAGAAATGGATACAGATAGAAAATGTAAAAATGGAAGTAGATAGAATGAATAGAAAACCCGCTAATGGCTCAAATAAATGGCTAGAAATTCAGCTAACTTATGAGAGCCTGTTACTGTGCTAAGGGTTTCGTCACAGAAAAGGTTGCATTCAAAACACTCACATAGAAGTTTCATTTTAAAATATATTGTAGTATTTTCTCGATTGTGTCTAATTTTCTCAAAGTGTATATTGAAACGTTTTGAGTGACGGTCAATATAAGCTAGCAGCTGTATTAATTTTTATTTTCTTAATAATTTATTTCTAGTCTTTTTTTGAAGCATGTTTGTATTCGAAAGATTGAGAGTTGAACAAATTTTTTCGATTTCTTATACGGACAAAAAAATATGATTAAAGACACCATAAACATTTTGCATTTTGCACTATCTGTGTTATTAGTTTCCAATCCTTTTAGCTGCGAGCTGTGGGGAGCTCCAAAAATATTTTTATGCCCCCTCCATTTTCCCACCGAATTATTCAGTGAATTGTGCAGAATACGGCCACACTTGAATACAGAAGTGTGCGTATGTAATTGTACTTTCTCGCATGACAACGCAATAAACATTTTGACAGACTTTTTGGCACCCATGAGAAGCCAGAAACAAATACCAAAAGCTAAAAATAAAAGAGGCGTGCACACAAAGTAAAAACTTCAACCATATTGTGAGATAGGATAGATAGCCGACTATGGGATGCATTGCAAATTATTGCTGGGCCATTAGGTTTTGGCAGGGGAGTATTTTTTTTTTAATAAAATTCAGATCCAAACCGCTTCTTTTTCTAAGAACTTTTTAATTTATGTAAACATTAAAAAAATATATTATTTTTGTAGAACATTGGTAAGACATTGGTATAAGATCGATTTGATTTTGATGTGATCGAACATAATAATTCCTTGTGTAATGTTAAAGGAATTGAAATTCAAAAAATAATATATCTTGAAAGTATTAATGAATAATTTGGGGTAATTATTAATAATCGAAAATAATCTTAAATGAAGGGTTTAGTGAAAGGTTAAAACATGGTGAAGTGTCAAATGCAGATACAATTTATAATCTGTATTTATGCATATATTGAGACGTTCAAAATTTCAAAAAACTCTCAAGGTTTTTGACTCTAAATGTTCTGCCTTCCAGTGACTCTTGATGGCAAATAACTCAATCATTTTTCGGATACAGCCGGATGCAACAAATCTACTACATCGGCAATGGGTAAAGGCCCGATTATTTCGCATTAGCTACCGTATTGGACCCTTCTGCGTCAGAGTATATCGGGAAGAAAAACTATAAGAAGAGGGAGGTCGGATTAGGGATAGTGGAGTGGGGGGAGGGGAAGGGGAAGGGGTGGTAAAAATGTTGGCATGTGCAAATTGCAAATGTTTCACAATAATTTTGCAACGAAATTCTTCTTGTGCAGTTGTTAGGCATGCGAATTATGATGCCGCTCGGTAACGAAAGGCCAAGCGGAAATGTTAACAACATTTTGGCTTTTTAAACACACGCACGCACGCACATACTGGGCGGGGCTTGAAGTGAAACGAAGGGGTGGTGGCAAAAATTTTCAGGAAACATGCAGCTGGACTACGCTTGATGCTATTGTTCTTGTTATAGTTGCTGTTGTCGGTAAGAATTTGCAACGCACGCTTGTGGACAGAATTTGGCACAGGAAGTGCTAAAAAAAATGCTGCACAAGTTGCACAACAAAAAAGCGTTGTATAAATAATAAAATTAACTAAAAGTGTTCTTATTCTCCCAACACCCCACCTTTTTTTTTCAATATTTTTGTGGGTCTCTGGAACAAAGAGCTCTTCCCACCTGCCGTGCTCCTTTCATGTCAGCATCCACTGAGCTGGCCATTTGTCGCTGTTTTGTTTTCGTAAGCTGGCAAATGCAAATTCTCATTTGTGTTGCAACATATTTCAGTTTGGCGTATTATTTTTACTCTTTTTTGGTGGCAAACGGATTAGGTGCTTTCATTATGGCCGGCCGGGCAAAAGGAATGCGAGTAAAAAAGGATAATTTTTGCCGGCAGCACTTCTCCATTATGCTGCTTGTGCGAACAGAAGAGGCTGCTGCTAAGGAAACTATTTGGAAGTTGGAGTTGAAGAAAATCAAAATTAAGCTGCTTGCAGTTTATAATTAAATATTCAATTGTATTCTAAATGTGATAACTTAAATGTTCAATTCAAATGTAAAACTTTTAGCGCAAATACTGTGCAGAATATGATTATGCAAGAGTTAGGAAAGAGCAAATCAATTTCAAAATAAATATAAACAATCTGTATTTATTATTCAATAAATATTTGTTCGTCGGCAACGAAGTTCGAAGTGTAGCGTTGATTTGGCAGCATTTTTCTAATGCGCCATCTATAGTGCATTTGCAGTACTAAGCAAGGGGTTGAAAAATTGGCTAAATTGTTTATAATTTCGTTTTAGTGTAAAACAAACCAAATTTTAAAATAACTCAATTGATAACAAACTAGTAAGCACACATTTTCACAACTTTGGAAATTTACACATTTATCACAAATGTGCAAAAGCACTAATGGTTTAAACGATGTGATTTCCCACGGTAGATTGGTTCCAGAAAATGTCGTTATGTTATTTTAAATCGTGCTAAATGGAATAATGTCCTGTAACCATATATAACATTTTTAATTTTCAAACCGGGTCAAATCAAAACCGTTTAAAAATAGAATTGGGTGTATTTAAAATGAAGTTAAAATGTATTTTATAAAATTCACTCCTCAATTTCAAATATTCCGCCAGCTTGTTGATTGGCAGCAGTATTTAAAATGTAGTTAAAATGTATTTTATAAAATTCACTCTTCAATTTCAAATATTCCGCTTGCTGCTAGTTGATTGGCAGCACTTGCACATGTTTGTAGAACTGGCAGCACTATTCGCCAATCGATAGGCAGAATTGTATTTCGTTATCGGATTGCAGTGCACTTTTTCTATTCAAAGTTTCGCTTCGTTTTCGGTTCATTTCATTAGGCAATCGTTGAAAAATTGTCTGGGCGTATAAGCAAAGCGTCAACACACAATGGAGGCCGTGCCGCGTCTGCATATGCTGTGGTTTGCCCTCAAGTCTAGTCCCGAGGGCACTTCATATGCGGCGCTGAAAAAGGTGGGTCTGGGCTGAGGTCCCGAGACTTCTACGGGGGCCAATTATTACACAAATTGAATTATGGGAACAAACACACACACAGACACAATGCCAGATGAATTCGACTTTAACTAGAAGTTTGCCGTAAAGTGCATTCGTCAAAATGGATGAAGTAAAAGTATTGGTATCTTTGTTTGTTGGTATTGTTATTTGCCTTTGTTGTTGTTTTCGCTCTGTTTGCTTTGCCAAGCGGGCGGTATTAAAATGCATGAGTCATTCGCAGCAGTCGTCGCCTGATTGTCAATAATGAGTCTTAAATTTCAACTACGCACTTGACCTTTTCCAGTACATTGCCGAGTTCTATCAGGAGGATCCGGAGTCCTACTCAAAGGAGGTGCATGCACTGGAAACGCTGCGCAACCAGGCGATGCGTACCACCAAGGATGGCAGTCCAATCATGAAGCGATATTACTGCCAGCTGCATGCGCTGCAAAATAGATTCCCTCAGCTGGCCGAGCGCGGCATTTTCACGTACAGCTGGAAGGATTTGTATCACAGCACGGTTCACGAGGTCAACGATATGCGATACGAACGTGCCGCCGTCCTCTTCAACATTGCCGCCTCGCATACACAATCGGGTGCGTCGGTGACGCGTGGTGATGTGGATGGCATGAAGATGGCTTGCACTCATTTCCAGGCGGCTGCCTGGGCCTATGGAGAGTTGCGGGAACGCTATGCGAATGTGAATAATGGCGGCGACTTTATGACCACCGAGCTGTTGGTGTTCATGCAACAGGTGTGCTTCGCCCAGGCCCAGGAATGCATACTGGAGAAGTCGCTAATTGATAATCGCAAGCCCCACATTGTGGCCAAGGTGACGGCACAGATTGTTGTCTACTATGGAGCGGCGCTGGCTGCGCTGCTTACGGGTGGCGACGATGGACCGGTGGCGCAGGTCATCGACAGTTCCGTCTACAAGCTGTGGAAAAAATATGTGCGCTTCAAGATAAACTACTTGAATTGCATTTTATATTTGTACCAGGGACAGCATGCTGAGGAGCAGCGCAAGATGGGCGAGCGTGTAACGCTTTATCAGGTGAGTAATCAATTCCGAGGCTACTCAACTGATACTTATTGTTCTCCCTTTTTGTAATAGGCGGCGTGGGATAAGCTGGAGGAGGCGCGCAAGGAGTCAAAGGGACTGCCTGATCAGGCGGAGATCAACGAATCCCTGACTTTCACCGCCGACGTGGTTGAGGCGAAGCGCAAGAATGCCAAAAACGAGAATGAGTTCATTTACCATGAGTCTGTGCCCGAACTCTCCACGATTGCTGCTGTGCAGGGCGCCAATCTGGTCAATGGCATTGGTTTCTCAATTACAGACGAGGAGTTCGCGGGCACTGACTTATTCGCCCGTCTGGTGCCGATGAAGGCGCACGAGGCCAGCTCCATGTACAGCGAGGAAAAGGCCAAGCTATTGCGCAAATATGGAGCGCTCATTGAACAAAAGGATACGGAACTGCAAAGCTATATGAGCTCGCTGACGTTGGACAATCTGAACATAAGCGAGGAGCACGCCAATAAGCTGCCTCAAGGCATCGTGGATCGCTGTGCGGCATTGCATGCCAACAAGACGGCAATTAGCGATCTAATCGAAGCCATGTCCCAGCTGGCCGAGATCACAGCCGATGTGGAGACAAATCTGAACGAGCTGACGCACATGCTTGAGGCGGAGGCGCAGGCAGAGCGTGAGTTCCAAGCGGCCAGTGGCGTGCAACGCACGCCCAACGCACACATCACCGAGTTGACGCGTGAGTTCCAGAAATATAGCGAGGCGCATGCCCGGGCCGGCGAATCGAACAACACACTGCGCAAGGCAATGAGTCTGCATGTGAATAATTTAAAGATATTGGCGCGTCCGCTACAGGAAATACAACAGCTAATGCCCAAGCTGAGCACTGAGCTGAACACGGCCGAGATATTCAAGGATGTTAAGCTAATTGTTAACAAGGTAAATGAGATGAAGGCCCAGCGTGCCCAATTTCATGCCGATCTGCGCATCGCCGTCAACGATGACGACATCACGGCCAAGGTGATAGCACATGGAGGCCAGGAGGGTATGCAAGCGCTCTTCGCCACCGAACTGGCCAAGCATGACAAACTCACTCAGCTGATGGATCAAAACTTGCTGGCACAGCAAAATATTCTGCAAGCCCTTACGGAGGCGTATGCACGAGCCGCTCCGGTACTCAAGACACTGCAGGATGTTAAACAGAAACGGGAGAATTTCTACAGCTCGTTGGCGGCCTCCTATGATGTGTACGAGGATTTGCTGGCCAAGTCATCGAAGGGCCTCGAATTCTACAAGAAGCTGGCGGGCAATGTGCAAAAGCTGCTTACGCGTTTCAAATCCGCACGCGACGTACAGTCGGAGGAGCGGCAGCAGCGTTTGAAGAGCGTCACGGCAGCCACATCAGCCGCGCCGACGGCCAAGACGGACTACACTGGCGCATCAGCTACGCCAGTGGGTGCCGCCCCCAAGCTACGCGACTACTTGAAGGCAAAGGGTGCAAGCGCAGCTAGCATTGCAGGTGCGGGCATTTCACCAGTTCAGGATGCCACGCCATTTGTGCCACCCGTGCGTCCAGTGCCCGTTGGCTCCGAGAATCCCACGCAGGCGACCTGCTCCGCCTACGCCACAGCACCGAACGAGCCGCCGCCGCCCTACAGTCTGCAGCAGCAGCAATATTACGATCCGAGCGCCGCCGGCTACACCAATCCCATGTATCAGCAACAACAACAGCATATCGCTCCACCCGCCTATAAGGCGCAGGCCTCGCCCAATTCACAGACTCTACATGGAACATTTGCCCAACTCAGCTTGCAACACCAGCAACAGCAGCAGCAGCAACAGCAGCAGCAGCAACAACAAGAGGCAGCATTTGCTCAGCAATCTCTGCCCTACGGCTATCAGTATGGCGCCTATCCACCACCTGCAGCATCGCCTGCTCAGCAATCAGTCTACAATTATCAACAGCCGCTCTACGTGGCAACATCAAATCCCGCTGAGATGACTTCGTCACCCTATGCGGTTAATCCTGCCATGCAAGCTGTCTATTCACAAGCCTCCCAAGCGGCTGCAGCTCAAGCACCAGCAGCGGCTGCCTATCCAACATCACAGGCCGCCCAACCCACATCAGCAGCTTATGCCCCTCAAACGGCCCAATTGGCGCAAGCACCGGCTGCCTATCCCCAATCTTTGTACCAGCAGCCCGCATCCTACGCTCAACAATCCTCTAACTATGCTCCAACCAACGGGCCCTTGTCGGCCGCTAGCTACCAGCAGTCGGCACAACAACCGGCAGCAATCTATCAGCAATCGCAGGCACCATCTCAGCAACCAGCAGTATATCCCCAGTCCCAAAACAAGCAACCACAAGCCAATCTTCAATATCCATTGCAATACGCTGAATCAGCTCCAGCTGCTGTTCCCATGCCAACTCTATCTCCATCTGTGGCTGCTCCCGTGGCTCCTCCATCCATTCCAACGCCTACGCCCGCTCCAGTCAGTCACGTCGGCGCTGATTCCTCCCATCTCAGCTATTCCACACACCCCGGCTACAGTTTCAATCCCCAAACGGGCAGCTACGATTACAGCAGTGGCTATCAGCAGGACAATAGCCACCTGGCCACCCACACCCAGACCGGATACGGACAGTTTACGCAAAGCGGACAGCAACAGGCGGCCCTGGTGGGCACCACAAATTCAGAGGCGGCCAGTCGAACCAATCTGGCTACGGGATTCGATGTGAGTTAACAGAGCAATAAAATTTGAGATCTATAAACATTATTTTACTAAAACAATTACGGTATTTAGACGCTAGGAATGTAGTATTTTTTTTTTGTTTTTTTTAATTCCAGAAAAGCTACGAAACTCTAAAAAGGTTAAAAAAAAATATAAATTTATAAATAAATTCAATTAAACTTATAAAAAGGCTTCCACAACTAGTACTTAAGTATAAGTCAAAAACTTTATAAAACGATGCATTTACTGGATGTAGATAGTTTCGACTGTAGCTGGAAGGTATAGCCTCTAGGTTTGGTCTCCTTAAGTAGAAACTGCATAGAAAATTCTAATGTACATAACATAAAAGAAATTTAGTATTTATTTTAATGTATTAATACAAAAATTAAGTAATTATTTCCATACACTCAAAGGATTCAATCAAATAAAAGGCGGAGAATTCCTGAAAGTATTACTTCAAAACTATTTAAAGAATACACAAATATAGTACTTTATGTTTTTGAGTGTCGGAATTAACACGAATTCTTAGTCGTAATTTCTTATGCCTCTGATAATTCATCGATTCTCTTGTAATTATAAAGCCAGTGATTTCGATTCGGTGAAGAGTAGTATCGACTAAAATATTAAGGGTACAAAGAAGCAGATATTTTATATTTCTCTCTACCGTATAAATATTTTTATTGTTTTATTTATTACTAATTGCTGTGCTAAATGCTTTACCTCTTTACAGTCACCAATAATTTCTCACACGAAGGCACCACCCGCCGCTACAACTGTGGAGACGACCAATGCTCAGCCGCCGGATAGTGCCCCCAACTATTATACGCCGCCGTATGGCTACCACTCCAATAATCAGCAGACAACTCAACCAGCACAGCCCGTTGAGCCGGCCACACCAAATCACCAGCAACAACAACAACAACAATCAAGCATGCAGCAATCGATCTACATGCAGAGCGGCGCCAGCAGCATTGCGAGCACCAAAACCACAACCAGCAGTGCAGAGTATGCCTCGTCAGCGGCACAGTTGCAGCCAGAGCAGCCGGAAAACAGAAATGACGAGCCGAACAGCAAATTGGGAAGCGCTGTAAACTCGAAAAATATTGATCTGCTGAGCGATTTGGATTGTGTCGGCTCTGTGCCGCCGCCGATGCTGCCAGAGCCGATACTGCAGCCGCAGATTGTGCCCACACCACCGCCCAGTCAAGTGGCCACACAGGAAGCAGCAACGCAGGAGGTCTGTATACATATCGGTTGTTGGATCACAAATCCACAATTAACATTTTCTCATCTAGCTGCAGCCCAAGAGTTCCGTGCCAACCACTCCCCGGTCTCCTATAAACTCGCCCCCTCCTGCATCTGTTCCTCGTGGCAGCATCGATAATCTATCCAATTGCTCGGATCTGAGCTCGTTGGACAACTTCGATTGGGACTCGGTTTCATTGACACATTCCACCAGCGAGAAACAACAGAGCAGCAATGCGTCCACATTCCAAATGCGCGCCCACGATGCCTTCAACCAAGAAAAAACGCTCAAATATTTCCACAAAGAGGTCGAGAGCTATGAGAAACTGGTGGAGAATTTGCATGTGAAGATGTTGAATGGCCAGACGGCACTCAGTACCAAGTGGAAGGAGCTGCAACAGAAGCTGGACAAGGATGCGAGCCTCAAGCGTACCACAACAATAGCCAAACTCTTTCCCGAGAAGAATCGCTCACTGGACTGTCTGCCCTACGATCATGCGCGCGTCAAGCTGGACAAACAGACAGATGATTATATAAATGCGGCGTACATAAAGGTGGATGTCAGATCTTCCGCTCTTTTCCCATGTAATGCTGATGCTATGTTTTATTTCAGAACCTTGGTGCTGGCTGCCCCAACATCATCATATCGCAAACCCCGCAGGCCAATACCATAAATGATTTTTGGTCCATGATTTGGTCAGAGAAATCGCGCACAGTTGTCTGCTTGCATACGCCCAATGAGGTATGAAAAATCTATAATTTTTATAAACTATTAAGCCTATTACTAAACAGTTTACTGAACCACTGAAACATCGAAATACTATCTATAATTTTATACTCGTATGTACACACATGTACCTGCCACAGTAATGGTCGCTCTAAGGAACCAAATCTGTTTTCTTTATAACAATATCGTACATATTATGACTTTCACTTTTAAAAATGTCTTTTTAAAATCTTAACACTATATCTTATAGAATTAAAATATCGCAACTTTTTTTAAATAAGAATTTCTACCCAAGTACCAAAGAGTTAAGAGAAGCAGAAGAAGGTTATATAGATTCATCTACGATCGACATAACGAGGCGAATTGTCCCTCTGTTCGTCCGTATGAACCCCGATAACTTTTGAACCATACCAACTACGGATACCAAACTTGGTATATAGACTTGCCTGATCCATACACAGAACAAGTTTATTACAACTCAATATAGCTTCATTATTTTATATAGCTACCATTAGACCGATCGGTGGAACAATAACTCCTAGTAGGATAACTTTTTTGTTTATGAAGATATCTTTAAAAAAAAAAAAAATGGCATTTATAAGTGTTGTATAGTAACAATAATCTACATTATTATCAAAATCGGGGCACTATATCTTACAACTGACGTAGGAACAAACGATGAACGGTATTGTGCCGTTGTGACCAAGTCACGAACAAATTCTTCTACACTTTTTGTATATAAACTCTAATCTAAATCGCTATTTTGTGAACTCAAACAGTTTTCCTTATAACAACGAACATTTATTTGAAAAGGGAATATAAATATATATTTTATTTTTTAATTTTTTATTTACATCATTTCACTAATATGAGAATTTTGATTAGCATTTAAGATTTAATTAATATGTATTTAAATATTCTGTATTTCTTTGACAAAAAGATGAACCAATGATAATATCTTAATACATTTATTTAACTGTTGAGTAGGGATTTGTACCTAGTCGCAAATAAGCTGTGTCGATCAGTCTCGCCTGGAAAGGGGAAATTTATTGAACTAGTTCGATATGACTTGATGTAAGCTCTATGTATATAAACACTTACGTCTCGCGGTGACAATTTTGTAAATACGCCCAATTCCAGTTTCAGTGGTTCTTGTGCGATGGGATTTCTGATCGACTCCAATAGCTCGGCTACTTGAAAAATGAGATCGCGAGTTAATTCAAATGCATCTCCAATGCAAAAGCAATCCAACTTTGTGCAGGATGTCAAGATTTTTAGGAACGCCGCTGGAAAGCCAACGAAATTGGATCGAACAATGAATATCTCTTCTAGCTCCTTGAGTTGACTCAGAAGTTCCATAGATCGGGCCTCTCGAAAATAGCAACTCAGGCTCTTTAAAGCCTTCATGCGTACAATCTGTTGTGTTGCCTCGAAATCCAGGTGTATGTGTTGCACATCTATTAACTGTAGTTGCTCCAAGCTCTCCGAAGAGAAGGTCTTGAAAAATATGGCCATAGGATACCACACATTCCCTTCGATGATCAGTTTTTTCAGTTTCGGTAACTTCGTAACTGGTTCATAGTCCGTTTCCTTTTCCATGCGAAACTTCACCTCCTCCAAGTTCGGACAGTGTGTGGCAATAGCCGAAATGTTTCCCTCACATCCACCGTGTAGCCGTAGAGCCCTTAGCTTATCATTTGACTTGCAATATTCCACTAAATCGTGCACGTAAACCTGGGCTGTTAGGGAAAGCTCCTCTAGATGCCTCAAATGGCTTAGATTTTTAAGGAAGTAGTTGGGTAAAACCTCGAATGGGCGATTACAATTTTGAAACTGCTGACTCGGGCCAGATATACTGAGACTTTTGAACTTCGGTAAATTCCGTAAAGCCAGCACGACTGGCTGCCATCTCGCCAAATTTGCATCAATACTTAACGACAAATGCTCCAATTGGGTCATTCCTTCAATAATTTTGCACAGCATTTCTGGCATTGCTAACAGCGGCCAATAATAGCTAGTATTATTCAATGCAATACTAAGTTCTTTTACGTTATGAGAACCTAGCAGTAGCTTCTGTCTATGACTTTTTTCATAGGCATTGCATATCATCTTTTGGCACTTCCCCGAACACTCTGTCAGCAGTTGGCGAAAAAACGTGCAGACATGGTACAAATTGAATTTATCCTCCACACTCAGATATTGGATCACCGATCGCATACAATCATCGTTCAATTCAAAAATATGGACTTCACTCATTATGATTGTTCGTTGATCCGAGCCAGATGGAATGGGAAATTAAACTTTGATCAAGAAATGCCCAAATTGGCGATCTTTCAAGCTCCCCTTCACGCCGACGATCAAAACAAAACTGTGATTAAAACAGCGTGCATAACAAGAGCGACACATTATCGCATTTGATTATGCGAAGAAGAAGAAGACGAACTAGACTATCTACATATGTACATATATATACATATATAGATGTGTATACACAATACATGCACGCTCGCTTAATCACACATGAACGACGGGCCTTTTTAAAATGATGATCCAAATGTTAATGTACTCTGCGGCTGTTCTCTCCTCGATTTGTTTGTATTGGAATATGTAGGTGTGTTTATTATCGCTTCGCCGCTAGTGTTATTGGAATTATAGCGCCTTGTTGCCTTATCTCTTTCTTGTATGTACAATGAGCGGTTTATTGGCAAGTCTCAAGAAAAACCGTTCATTAACTTGTTTACATCTTCTCCCTCACATTTGTAATATGGCTGTGGAGAGCGATCCATCTAGTGGCGAAAGCAACAGAACCGATTGTCACAATAGAAAAGTATTAAAAAATTATACCTTTTAAAACCTCGACCCTATAATGCTTAATAATTAACCATTTGTCTACTAATTTTCAGCTTTTTGATCCATTCTGGCCACAAACTTTGGACCAACGCACCCACTACGATGACTTTACCGTCAATTGTGTGAAGCTTCAGCAGCTCAGCCATTGTACTGAGTACCAATTGCAGCTGTCTATGCATGGCGCTGATGCTATCTTGGATTTGTCGCTCCTGCAACTCAAGCAGTGGACGAAGGCGTACGTATCCCGAAAATGTATTTAACTCTATTATAGGTTGAATTAACATCCGCTATATTGTTTACAGATCGCCCAGCCAGCTGCTGGGCATAGGCAACAATGCGCTGCAGACTCATCAGCAGCGTTGTCTGGCAGCCAATACACCCAATTCTCCGCTTATAATGAACTGTCTAACTGGCTCCGAGCGTTCCGAATTACTGGCCATAGCCGTGTGTGCGCAGATGGCCACGCAAGCAGCGCGACCCATTTTGATAAGTAAGCCGGAACTGAAATATATACGTGTACTAGTATATTAGAAATATTTATTGATAGATGACATCATCACACAAAAGAGTTGTTAGTTGTTCGAAAGAACTCAGATGTTAGGGTAATCTTTTTACAATTGATTGTGAAAAGTTTCCTATTTTATGGGTTTAATATTATAACAAAATATGAAGTCAGTTGTTCGAAAGAACCTTGAAGTTAGGGTAATCTTTTTACAATAGCCTTGGCTATTTAGTAGTCCCTAAATATAGGGTATAATAACTATCACATCCCATCCATACAAGACATTCATTCCTTTCTGTGATATGGGCTAGTTATTCGTTATTCTTATATTATTTAGTTCCTTGAGCCCTTCTCTGCGCTTCTCATTACTAGCACTTAAGTCACGATTGGTTGTGAAAAGTTTCCTATTTGATGGGTTAAATATCATAACAAAATTTAAAGGTTCTTTGAACTAGCATTCAATGGGCTAATTATTCATTATTCTAACACATATTTATTTCCTTGTGCCCTTCTCTGCGCTTCTCATTACTAGCACTTAAGTCACGTATGGTTGTGAAAAGTATCCCATTTAAACAATGTTTTAAAATTGTATGACTTCCTATCTATGTTTATTCCCTAGATGTGGTTGATGTTTGGTCACGAATTTGCAGTCAGCGCCAGAACTCCCTGCGGGACGCTGCCACACTGGAACAGGCTATGCAAATTGTACTCAGCCACGCCCATAATGTGCTCAATAAACGTAAGAGGTCACCCAACATGCAACAAGTACGTCCGCTAATAAGCTTTTTATTATCCACAGGCGGCATAATGACCTCATATCAAATGAAAATGGCGCCACAAGTGAACGCTAAAGAGCAACAGGAGACCAAGGATCCACTTAATGAATTGGATGCGCTGTGGAAATTGAAATGAGCAGCGGGCTGTCAAAGATTGGTGTGCGCAGACTGAATCGGGCAGCGCTTATTGCTTAATATGTTAATCAAAATTCAAAGGTTTTCACACATATTTAATATTACTCGACGACCACGGCTACTTGATGCGTCATTGTTGCAAACTATTGAGCTCATCTTATAAGAAAAAGTATTCTGAAAAATCAAACATTTTATGTATTGTCCCAATTATTGTTAAGTGTATTCTATTATTGTATGTTTGTAATCAAAAGATATTGTATATCATATATAAAGTTCAATTTATTCCAAATAAATGACTCTCCATTAACAACCTTGTAAATTCAGTTTAGAAAAGTGCTAAAAAAATAACTTAATCAAAAAATAAAACAGAAATAGATGTAGAGCTGGGGCCACAAAAGTTTGCGAAAGAGATGAATATGGATATCGTACGTAAAAGGCATATTGCTGATTATTAAAGACATAAAACCGAGGCACGATATTCAAACATTCGAAGTATTTTACAAAATAGATCCGATTTTGGAGATTAATAAATTTATCAAAATATTATCAAGTCCTTGACAGCACGTTTAAACTAATAAATGCTTTTTCTATTCTGTAGTTGAAATTCTGTGAAATACGAATATCAGGAGTTATGACCTAATACAGTTTATCCAAGGGTGTCAATGCCCCGAAACGTTTAGAGATTTCTGTTCTGGCTCTCTAAATATCTTAAAAATGTGAAAACAAATAATCCTGCGTTGTTTAATTCTCCCATCAAATGAACATCGATTTAAGGATCACAAGGACTTGATCCAATAATTTGATTGACCAAACGAAATTAGTCGTGCGGTTCAGATTGGAATATATATAAAATCCCAACATCAAATGTCCGTCTTGGCGGCAGGACCTGATAAGACAAGCTTAGTGCTGTTCCAGATCTGCAACCAGTTGGGAACATAATCGCGCTATATTCGTATCCTTAAAGCAATTGAAAATATTCATTGCCGTTCATAGTGGGATATTTTTTAATAACAAACAACACGATTCATGATAAAAAGGTTTATTGTTTTATTTTATTCGATTTCCAATGCATTACCCAACAAATCTCCATTCATTAAACTTATACAAGGATACGCGTATTGGTTAACTTGGTTAAGTTTTGGTGAGCTGTGCTTTTCCTTTCACCAATTTTGCTTTTAAAATAGGCATTTCAAACAATAGGTGTGTGCTTTCGGCTCGGTTTATGCCAAATTAATATAAATTATTAAATTCAATCGATAAATTATCGAATACAAATTAAATTATTGATTTAGTGTTATTTTTATAAAATTTAAACACTTTATAAATCATAAAAAATTACAATTTTTTTGCATTTGACGTTTAAAAACATACCAGTAATTTAAACATTCGATCCATTATTAGGAAAAAGTTTACATTTTAAAACAATTGATTTAAGAAAATTAAATTTTTTTATTTTTATTATATATTTACATATATTGAACCAGATTTGTAAAGTGAATAAAGTTTTCTGTTAAAATTTAGCATAAACCTCGCCTTGCTTTAAAAAAAAACTTCCAATGCTTGGCTCGCATGCTGTATCGCTAAGCATATCAATTAGTCTATTACATTATTTTTACTATGTGATTAAAACCACAAAAATCATGTCTTACTACTTGTCAACGTTTGGCAAAGGAATTTTGGGTATAGCTGCTGTGCAAATGAGCCTGTGGCGTTGTAGCTGCTAGATTTGTTCGTTTCGTGGGAAGTACACAAATGAATAGACATTAATATACAAAAATATATATATACATATATAGTATGTACTGCCACATTATTAAAATTATATAGATGCGCGACAATAAACTGATTCATCAGTTCTTGTCATGTCTAGAGCGTTTTATTTTTTTTTGTTCTTGTTCAAAAGCAGTCTACAAATTTGTTTTGTTCGCTTCTAGCAGCATATTTTGAAAAAAATGAAGTTTTTTTATATTTTTTGAAATGCAAAATATGCCACTAGTTTTTCAATTCTATTTTACTTAACAGGAACCAAGTATTGCGTAAAAATTCATTTTACTTTTCAATCCAATTCATGCTATACTAAAAAAATTTGGCATTTCCAATTCTTCAATATCTAAATACAATTTAAATCGTTACATACGAAAATGCTATAAAAATTTTGTTTTTGTTTGAATTTTGAAATTTTTATGACTAATCAGCATTTTTTTTTGTGTTTTTGTTTTATACATTAAACGCATTATTTGCACAATATTTGAAATATTGAATAAACTATTAGGATTACTATTTTGTTCTTTCGTTTAGTTGTCATTCCATTGTTTATGCAAAATTATTAACAAATCACAGTAAAAAAGCAACAATGCTAGAAATTGGTTTCGTTATGTAGTATTAATAGTTATACACAATGAATGCGATTTTGATTATGGCGTATTTACGTTAGGTGAGAAACGGGGGAGACTTTCACAATCGTAAATGGGAATGAGTGAGGAATTCGAGATGCAAATCAAATTGTTTCAAAATTCTCAGTATGAAAAACATATTTAAAATGATTAATTAATTTTTGGGTGAAATTCTTTTCAACATTTTGTGTTATTTTAAAGACGAATAATCTAATATATTCGTAATCGTAAAAAAGCGAAGGATGATTTACAAAATTGGAACGGAAACAATAGCAGTTTGGTTTTATAATACAAATTAAATCATAAAAATAATTACATATTTCGAAAACTGTCATAATACTTCAAGTTGTGTGTTATTTTAGGCAACAAATCGTTATACTTTCATATTCGTTCTTCCGAATGCTAATGCAATATATAAATGAGCACGGGACAGACATCTTATTGTTTAGAACATATATATACTTTTTAAATTATAATAAAATTTTTATAGCGATTCATCTACTTAGGAATACAAACAATGTATAATTCAGCACGCTTTAATTGAAAATAGCAGCGTTTCATGGTAGGTTCATTCATATGAGGAATGTTTTAAAATGATGGACAAATAAATTATGAATATAGCAGATAGTTAACACTTAGAAAATACACTTAAATAAAATCATAGCAAAGAATTCGTTTTCAATGCAATTCGAGATTCAAGAATGCCAATTTGTTTCTCTTTAGCTAAATAACAATGGGGTTTATAACAAAAGTCATGATACTGCTCAAATATAAATACATACATATGCTAATATGTTATATATATATAGTGGTATATAGCACAATGACGCACAATTTTTTCACTGTGCAAAATGTAAATATCAACATGATGAACAAATGGAAGGGGCACTTAGTATTCTTATACGGGAGTACAGATATATGAGAAATGGAAGCTACGTTTCAGCGACGCCACAGAATAGATCTAAGCGAAAAATGAGTATAAATCATGTGATTGCAGAGTGCAGGAATTATGGAGTTAGAATAGAGGCTGTAAAAGGCCTAAAGGCCCATGGCTTAGTCTTCTGTTTTGTCAACGTGCGGCAAACGTAGCTGAGATATACAGATGGCTTCAATATGCAGTAATACGTATATAGTATAGGTTATTTACACATTTAGATGGTAGACTTTAAAAAGTAGCATTCGAAAAATATACATACATATACACACACACACACACACATTCATGTTGATGTTATATCTTTTTATAGACAGCGAGAGAAATGCGGAGCATAAAAAAAAATAATGTGAGTTAACAATACACGAAATATTCCAGCCAACATTCTCTGTTTCTCTCTCTCCATTTAATAATCGTATCCTCTGTGGCTACTGCTGCTCCTCGGGCCGCACGCGCTGGCGATGCAGCAATCAGCTGCCCGCCGCGAATCGCGGCTTGGCCGCATTCTCCTCACCGTTAGCGCCCATCTGTTGCAGTTCGATTTCGCTAAGGAGCGCCCAATTCTCGCTGTCGCTGTGCACGTGCAAGCGCAGCTCCTTAATGGCACCAATTTTCGGATCCAATACGCTCTCGGCAACGCCCAGAGCATCGAAAGCGCCCACAACCAGATACCCGTCTGTGGTTGTATTATATATGCTCCACACCGACGAATTCTCGCTCAGGCTATCCGCCGGGAGCAACTCCACGGTGGTGTTATAGAAACGATCCGACGGATGCTCCGAATTGCCGCTGCGAAATAAATAGCGACGCAAGAGGATGGGCTGTTCAAAAATAAACTGTACGAGGTCGCCAGGTTGGGGCAGTAGGCCCCAGAAATAGGTCTCGCCGCGATAGGCGCGCTTCAAAACGTAATTTTTGTAGGGCGCTATATTCGATTTAACGAAAGCGGGTGGATTGTGGATGTGCGCATAATAGGTCGGCACCTTGCTGCCAAACTGTTTGTCCTTCAGCTTCTGCACCTTGCCCTTTAGGGAGGAGCTGGTGCCAATGTGCTGGAAAAGCGATTTGCGAAAATGCTGCCAATATTTGGCCTTCTCCTGATTGCAATGCTTTTGGTCCTTGTCGGTGCGACACACTTTGGACTCAATAAAATACGAAAGCAGCCAATCTACGGGCTTATCGTTGTAGAACATTTGAAAGTAGGTTATCAAATAGGGCAGCTCGGCGCTCTTGAACATCTTTCCGATGAATCCAAGCTGACAGAAATCGAGGACAAACCATGCCGGCTGATCGCGCTTCGTTAGGGCGCTCTTGATCAGCGCAAATTTCTTCATGGTCGTTATAAAGTGGCGCTTAGTCAATATATCATCCTCTAGCTGCACATAGAAGGTGCCCTTTGCCTGCGCATAGGCCATCAAATAGGCAAAGTCGAGATTCTGTTTGCTACGCCACTTCACACGCTCCAGCGGATCGTTCAGCGTTATGCGCAGCGTCTCAAAGTTGGGATAATAGCTGGGTGATGGCGCTATAATATCGATAAGTCCACTCTCCACATGCTGTTCGAAACTGTGTTCGATTTGCTTCGCTATCAGCTGCACTGTCTCCAGCTCTGTTTCCCCAATATAGACTATAATGAGCGTTTCATTCTGCTCCTCCTCGTTCATGTTTTCGATGAGATTGTGCAGAGTGGAGAGCAGATAGGACTGCTTTTCCCGCTTCACTGTCGGCACGCCGAGTACAATGCTAACATCGGCACGTCCCTTGCTCTGCAAATAGGCCGGACGCAACGAACTGGCATCGTCCAGCAGATGCGGCAAAAAGTGATAGGCATTGGGCAGACGTATATTTTGTGTGGGCGTGTAGCGTTGGGCAACTCCTGTGCGTGAGGCGTGCGAGGCGTTGCGCAACAATTGGCGTGCCTCTGGACTAAGGGCATCCACCAAACTGGCAATGGGACCAAAAGCGGGCACAGCACTGCTGGGCATGCTAGTTATCCCTGTCACAGTATTGTTGCTGCTACTGGAGGAGCTGATCTGCAACTGACCCACATATTGTGAGAGGAGTGAGACATCCTCCTGTCTCGCCCGATACATGGACTCTAGATACTGCAGTCGCATGTGACACTCGGCCAATCGTTGCGTCAGCGACTGTTCGGTGGATAATTCTGGACCCATTATCATCAATATCACAATGCAAGGCGCCAAGACGAGCAGCGTCGCGATTAGCAAACAGTTGCGTTGTCGTATTTTGAACATTTTCCTCCAGTGGATTAACAGTCTGAGTTAATATATATATATATGTACGTTATTGTTCGCTCAATTCGTTGTCTATGTACAGTATGTGTAAGTGGGTGTGCCTCAGTCCATGACGGCCCAACGTCGTCTAATTTGATCTGCTCCCATGGGCGGGCCCATTTCCCTTATTATGCTGATGATGTTGTTGGCAATGACTAATGCTTCCTGCCAATATTAACACACATATTAGCCGCATGCGACAAGCTAGGGCGAAGGTCAAAACGTTTAACGTTGTTTTGCTCACCTCTTAGCCGTCGTCGTTGACGTTAACGTCTTTTATGGCAGCTGGCGCAGTTCTCAGCGTACGACCTCCTGCGAAAAAATAATACTTTTGTTTTAGCCGCTCTCGTGTTGTTGTATAATAAGTGTGTAATATGCAAATGCTTGAACAAAAAAATTAAATTACATGGCTCAGCGCCAAAATGCACCGTTGCTTGTGTCAGATCGTCGTTGTCGTTGTCGTCGTCGCCGTTCGATATTGTTGTTTTCGCTAAAACTAAGCCGGTGGGTTGTTGGGGCCCTAACGGGTGAGAGCTGCCTCTGGGCTGTAAGAAAAAAGCAAATGCGTATTTACATATGTATGTATGTATATTTGTACATGAGATATAAAGCAAGTGCAAGCTCAATAATTACTGGTGCACGTTTGAAAAGCATTTAAAAACTCAATAAAAAAAACACTTGTGAATAAAAACAAGTAGAAAAATAAAGTCGCTCCAGTCTGACTCTGTTCAGCAAATGAAATAAACTTTGTTGCGCAAATCATTTGTATAGTTTACTGATTTACCCGTATATATATAAAAGCATATTTAAATAAACAAAAAAGTAATTATAATAAGAATTTGATGATATGGCAACTACACAGCTGGACAGAATAATTGGTGCAAGAACATTTTTTTTTTTTTCAAAAATTAATTATTCTCAAAAACTCAATTAGTTTTCAAAATAAACATACTTCAGCGACAAAACAAATAATAAAGGGCTTTACCAACCATTAAAAAAAAACTTAGTTAATTCATAAAATACAAATATTTCGGCTGAACGGAATAATAGGTGTGTAAAAACAAAATTTGTAAAAAATATTGAAATTTTGTTAATTATGGTGCCATATTGTACTGAATTGATTAGAGCACACTCCATATCCTGAAAATCCGCCATTATTCTTGGTGATTTTTTCGATTCCTGCAGACATAAAGGATATCAAGTTCTGTGACCGACACCCGCATCGTTGCATTAGCTGACCGCGACCCGTTCATGCCTATATGAACGATTTCAGGTGAAATTGGGAGTGTTATGTCATCGTGAACCATTAGACGACGAAAAGTCAGCGTAAATCTATCCCGCAGGACTGCTGGCAAAGTTCCTCTGCTTAAAACTGCAAATTCCAGGATGGGGGGAAAACTTTGCATCAATTCATAACAAAATTAAACAAGAGAGGAATGCTAAAGTCGAGCAGGCTCAACTCTTAAATACCCTGTACCGCCGCAAAAAAATCAAGAATTTATTAAAAAAAATTTAATAAATTTAATTAATTAAAATATGGCTATATCGACTCGCCTTGTCATCCTGATCAGGAATATATATACTTTGTGGGGTCTGCCACGTCTCCTTCTGTCTGTTACATCTACACTCGCACAAAACTAATATACCCTTTGGGTACAGGGTATACAAATTATTTCAGATATTTATTTTATTTATTTCAGATATCTTTATAAAGCCAAAAGTTTATCCTGGTCTGAGTGATTTCTACAAGAAAAACTTTGATATCCCCAAGTGTTGTCGGACAAACGGACGATCGGACATGATTTGTCCCATCATGCTGATCGTAAATGAGATCTGCCACGCCTCCTTCTGTCTACACCATTAACTTGACACTTATACTTTCTGGTATACCTCTTCATTCGGTAGCAGGGTATGAAAAAAATTGTTTGCAAAAAAAAGTAAGCAAGAAAAGAATCAGAATTGCCGCTAACTCAGCTGAACTGTGAAAACAGAACGCAAAACATAAATAAATAAACAACACAACCGTCAAATTAACACCCCAAGAATTAACTACATAAACATTCATATACATACATACATATGCACAAACAAACATACATGTGTGTATACAGTTCAAGTCCACGCCTCTGCTGTGCACAGCACACACAAGCACACACGTAGAAGCAAAACTTACTCGTAAATGACACTTAATTGCGCTTAAATTACGCACAATCAATATAATTCACGCACAGTAGTTGCCTTTAGTTAAACAGCACACTAATTGCTTTAATCGACGTTAATAGGAACTGATTGATAGCGTTGGTAACGAAAATAAAACAAACAGTTCTTCTTTGTGTGTGTCGTCTTCAATGATTCTCGGTTTTGCCATATGGTTTGCAAATCTATAACAATTTACATAGCTTTATTGGACACGTTTTTGTTGTTCGCTTATTCATTTTGTTATTATGTAAATAAATGTCGCAATATTCGCGTTATTGTATGCAAAAGCTTAAAACGGCTGCTACACTCGCGCGACTGTCACGCAGCAGCAGCAGGCAAATGCAATAACAAAAAACTGTTTGGGGCTGCCAACTTGGACCAGTGTACAAGAGATGCCAACCGGAGCTAAGTGGACAATGCACATCGATTGCACACATCGATAGCGGCCGTTTGACAGCTGTTTGTTTTTGTAATTTGCACAGCTATGAGTGAAGCAAAGATTTACTTAACACTTTTAAATGGCACCGGCTATGTATTTGATGTGGATGGTAAGATGGTAAATGAAAGAGCCTTCATTCATAACTCTGCTACTCTCTCTATTGTAGATTACATGACATTGCGCACAAATCATCGCATAGTGGGCGCTCCGGTGGGCACCGCAAACTCAAAGGGCTGGTCTGCACATGAAGCGAGTTAGTTATTTATACATTTATATATTAAAATTTTACAATATATTTCTTAATTACATGTATACAGCACTGCCTGTGGAGTTAACCAAATACGAAACACAATTGCTCATTGAGAAAGGAATAGCCTTAATTGTTTGTAAATCGCAAGCGTTGACGACACCACCCACCCCACATCAGTTGGAGGCCTATAAGGCAGCGTTTGAGGCTCGTTTGACGTCACAGGCGGAAACTTTGAAAGCTGAAAAGTTACGCGAGACAGAGCGCCATTTGGACAAAATTGTAGCCGGCAAGCGCAACAAGTTGCTGAAGCAGGGAAACGCAGAACAGGGTGAGAGAGAGTCACAACAGAGAGAGAGAGTTACCAAAGCAGCACCCCAAAGGCATTGCCATGTTAATAATAAATTATAAATTGCGTTTTTTCTTCGTTTTGTGTGCAGCGGCTGCTCTAACGCCTGAACAGGTGCTCCAAGAAATCGCCGACAACTTTTGTTTTGAGCGGCAGAATGCCTTGGTGGAGGTGCCCTGCGCTCATGTGGACAGACACAGTAAGCTAATGGTACCCTCTCATCTCTTAATCCCTCACTAAGGAAATACTTGCAGCGGCCCAACTTTATCAATGGCCCCAACTGGACACGGTGCAGTATCGCGTGTTTCGTGATCTGTGGCAGCGTGGCAAGTTTGTGACAACGGGCGATGCTTTTGGCGCTGATTTTCTCATCTATCCCAGTGACCCGCTGCTCTATCATGCCTCGCACATTGTCATCGTCCAGGAGACATCCTGCATACGACCGCTGGACTTCATTGCGAAAGTGCGCCTTTCTGTCACAGTCAACAAGAGCTGTGTTTTTGCCTATGAGCGAAGCAGCGGTGGAGAAATAGTGTACCAAACAGTTTCGTGGCACAATCCAAAATAAATGCGAGTGTTCGGTTTTGTTATCAGCACGACTGGGCGGCTTCAGTACTCAGTCTGCGAGCGAAGAGATCTGCGAGTATAAATAAATGGCATAAATGGCACATTAATAATAGAGCAATCTCTAAGCCTCTTGCCGGGGAGTCTGCAGCGTTTGTGAGTGCCCCAACACATAATTGTGCTCCACAGCTCAGTTTCTGAGATGCTACAGTTGACAATCGCTATAAATATCGACTGCAAAATGTGTATTCGTTGTGATTCTGGAACTCAAAGGAACATTAGATTCCGAATTTCTTGAAATAAAAATAATAAATAAAATGTATGAAAGCAATTGATATGAGTTTTGGGAATTCATAGAGACTTAAGCATCATTTTATAATTTTGTATGCCCTTTGACCTTAAATAAACAAAGTCCCATACAAAATTTGCAGTAATAACAAGATAGAACGCTACAGTCGAGCAAGCCCGACAGTAAAATAGCCTGTACTCTCACAAAAAAAAAATATTAAAAAAAAAATTTTTTTTAAATAAATTTTTAAAAAAAATGAATGAATTAATTAATTAATTTAATTAAATTAGAAAACATGTTTATGTTCAGTTTTAACAGCATACATTTACATCACGTACCTATGCGTGTTTATATGCGTGTATGTATGCAGCACAAAGTTGAACCAAAGCAGCAACAACAACAACAGCTGCGGGCAGCGCTGCCGACAGAGCTGCAGGCAGCGCATGAGCAGCGATTTTACTTATGGCTATAACTTTCTTCAGAATTGACCTATCATGATGAAATTTGGCACACGGATACATTAGTACCAACTGGATGTACCTACCAAAATTTATTTCAAAATTCCGACAATTACGGAAGTTATAAGAAAAAACATGAATTGCGGGGGAGTGGGGGGGGGGTGCATCGACGTTTTTGAATCAATACAGAGTTTAGGATTTGTGGAAGGTATTACTACATATTTGGTTTAGAAATGGTATGAAAGTATGGTTTAGAAAGTATCTTTTAACTCTATGATAACATTTCATTAGGTGACAAAAATATTTCCATTATTCTTTTTATGTTGCAGATGAAGTCATTGAAACATTATACTTTTGATAATTATTTTATTTATTTATTTATTTTATTTATTTCTTTACCGATTTGTTTATATAAGTACAAATCCGTATTATAATTAGAAATCTTTCTCTAAGATAAAAATATTATTATTTCTGTTGTCAAAAATTCAACAAATTGTACTTTTTTTTATTATTAATTAAGTGGACTTATTCTCTACCGATTTGTCTAACTTGAAATCTCTAAATATTTAAGAAAGACTGCCCTTTGACGTTTAATAAATAAAATTACAAATTTTAAAAATTTCTTGTTCTGTGTGAAATAAGGTTGTCTTTCAACTCTATGTAATGTTATTCATTAGTGGCAAAATATTTCCATTATTCTAATTATATTCCAGATAAAGTATTGAAACATATTGATTAGTAAGTATTAGAAAAGTGGAATAATTCTTTACCGATTTGTTTATATAAGTACAAATCCGTATTATAATTATAAACCTCTTTCTACGATAAAAAATATTATTATTTCTGCTGTCAAAAATGCAAGAAATTGTACTTTTTGTTATTATTAGTTAAGTGAACTTATTATCTACCGATTTGTCTATATAACTACAAATCTCTATAATAACTTAAAATCGTGAGAAAATATTTTGTTTCTATGTGATTTAAAATTCTTGTTAAAGTGATTGAATAGAAGTAGATATGTGGGTGGAGTTAATTCTGTACGGATTTGCAGAAGTCCTTTAGTGAGGGTTCACTGTACTGTGCCGTGACTGCCGCGACAACTTTTCACATTTCCTCGCGTGTGCGCCACTAACCTCTCAGTCTCAGTTACTCATTGCCGGCCGAACACCAAGTGGAGAAAGCTTCGCTACTCAGAGGTTAAAATAGTACGTTAAGAGTTTATTATGGCCGTGTCTTGTCTGAGAAGACGGCGTCGACAATGCGGTGGAGTGAAATTTGAACGCAAACTGCTCAATTTTTTGGACATTTTGCCAGTTGAGCGCCAGACGCGGTGCGGCAACGTTGATAAAAATTTTGCGCCGTCACGATTATACAATCAGTAAACCAGAAGCAACAACAACAAGAACAATAAACAGGCGAAGCGCACAAAATAAATAAATTAGTGCGTCCAAATAAGCTTATAATTTTATGGCCTCACAGACAAACACACACAAACACATATATGTGTATACATATGTACGTGCATGTACATACATACATACATATGTTCGTATGTATGTATGTACTGCATTGTCCGTGCTGCTGCTGTCGTCGCTTGTTTTCGATTTTTCAAGCATTTTTATTTCTGTTGAATACTTTTTAAATAGACTTTGACTGCAGCAAAAACAACAACTACGATAACAAAAACAACAACGAGGCCAGACGTTCGAGTTTCATTTAGTCGCACAGTGGCTTCATAACAAAATATTGACCAAACCAACTTACATATATGCGATCAAAGTCCTCTTCTTCTCGTCCCATTTTTTTTTTCCAATGAAACACAAATATTCTCAACATTAAAAAAACTTGTTCATATATCAGTATTGGGCATATTTTATTTTATTTCCATATTTATATTCGCTTTTAAATGAAAATTATATTTGAATTTCATTTAGTCGCACAGTGGTTCAATTACTTTACCATCCCGCCGGGAGTGTGACAAGAATAATTAATTTCTCGATACTGCTGCTGCGAAGTAATTTCTTTACGTTTCATATTTTTTTATTATAATTAAACACGAGTACATAGATATTTAAAACAAATTAAAAAATAATAAGCATTGCGTCGATGATACAATCTAATAAGAAGTTTAAGAATAATACTATATGTACATTGGGTTTATAGATAAAAAGTTGAAAATTATGTTCGCCGCCATTGTCAAACATTTGTTGATGACACAAAAACGTTGAATTTTGCAAATGACGCAGAATTTTGCGTCACGGTACTTTACCGTACAGTCCGCCACTTGCATGTTCGACCCACGACACTTACGTTCTGATTGGACTTTTGTAAGCGGCATTACAATGCGTTGCAGCATCAAAACAGAGAAAATTGTAATCTTGAATTTGTTTTCATTTTCGTTTCTTTTTGTCTTTTTTGGCTACTCACGCTCACTTGGTTTACTCTACTATTACTCACCGGAACGCACTCAGAGTGGTACTCTCCCCTACCAAATACAGTGCAGCAAGTTGTTGTTGTCGTTGTGCTCTTAAAGCTGGACTTGATCTGCATAAAAAAATAGGGTCGGTGTCGTCGACCGGTCTCTGGATTTCACATGTAGCCAAGTAACAGGTGTATGGGAAAGTTGTGCTCTTCGGCCCTGAGCGTGTGAGTGCGTGAGGATATTTAAGAGATATTTTCATATGTATGCCTCTATAAAGCTTTAGATCTATTGATCCAAGTTTTTGTTTACATCCTATACTGGCTTAGCATTGAAGAAAACTAGAAAGCCTTTATATGAAAACATTGACGAGTTTGATATTTTTATTTGGCAGATATGAATTTCTTTTTATTAATTAAATAATTTAATTTATTATACAAATAGTATTGTAAATTTATGCCCATCAATAAGTTGCTCTTCGTTCCTGAATGTGAAAGTGCGTAGGGATTTCTAAGAGCGGTTCAGGATTGATCAGTTGATCCAACATATAATTTACAACCCCAGCGACTTACGATTACAGAAAAATAGAAAATCATTTAAAATCAAACAAATTATTTAAAAGTTCTAACATTATTATTAGTGCACATTTATGCGCATCAATATGTTGTATACAAAATATGCTCTTTGCCAAACATCTGGCACCCTGTTTGTCAACTGTACTTTCAAGAGCGCACACTTCAGCCATCTTGCTCACTCGCATGCTCAATAACAATGCAGCAACAGTGTCACACACACAAACAACCATATATACTCACACACATGCATTTGCAACCACCACCAACGAGACGAGGCGCATGACTAAATATTATTTTCTCCGTATAGAGAAAAAAACTCGTCATACGACCGCCGCGCTGGCAAAACGTAATTCGATCGAATAAATGCTCAGTACAATTTTTTCAACGTTGGCGAGCAGCAGCAGCAGCTATTTGTGCCCGTGAGCGGCCAAGTGAAACCAAGACAAAGATTTTTCTTCTTGCGCTCCGGTGAGATAATTTCAACTAAATTCTGCACGCTCCGGGAGCGGGAGAGACAGACTTGTCAAAAAAAAAACAACAAAACAAATGTGCGTGGCATTTAAAATAAATTATTTAAAAAACATTAAATATAAAATGTATTATTGTAATCGTTGAATCGTTGTTAACTGTACAGCAATATTCATACTATGTGTGTATATGGTTTTAGTACATGTGTGTGTGTGTTTGTTCGTCGTTTTGTGTCAGCGTCAGTCCGCAATATGCTAAAGTCGCGCGCTATTTTTGTTTAATTTTCTAACAACATTTTTCATTCGGGTGCTACCACACGCAGTTGTAGTTGTGTTTTTTTCCAAGACTGAAACGGTCTCACATTTTGGGGCGGCGGGCGGGCTGGCGCGCAAGGCAGCCTGCCCACATTCTGTATTAGAGCTGTGCGTGAAATCGTGCGTGATTGTGATAGCTAAGAGAAGGACTTGTGCTTCTGATATTCGAGAAGTAGTCATCATCTACTATTTCATGGAAATGCACGAACTCAATAAGATTTAGAAACCGTTAAATTTCACTATGTTGTAAAAATTGGTTAGGAAATGAACCGATACAAAATTTGGTTAAATTAACAAAAAAAAAAGCCACCAAATATATATCTATAAACAAAATGGTTTGCTTGGAGAAATAATAAGTTTCCTTTAACACCGATAGTTCCATATGATAAGGTATAATACAACTATAAACTTTCAACAAACAACAAATTATAAAAAAGTCCCCAAATAAACTAGTATGATCGTAAAAAGCAAAGAAATAAAGAATGGCGCGAATGTGAGAGAAATTTGTTTTTATAATTGTGAGTGGAGTGAGCTTCACTTCATTTATATCACGCGCACAGCTCTATACTATCGTCAACTGTAAAATTTGCTCGCACACGCGTTGTCTCGTTCTCACGCGCTCACCGCAAAATTTGACAGAACGTATATATGTTATGTTGTTGTTGGGTTGCCTGAATCGTTGTGGCGGGGGGGCGACGGCCACAACTCAGGGCCCCGTTTGGAGGCACATGCGCCAACAACTGCTCCCCCATTCCTCAGCAACAGCACACGCACTCACACACACACAAACTTTGCCACTGAGAATGAGCGAGCGAGAGAGCGCACGAGTAGACTTATATTGTAACCACTGCTTATGCTCTTTACTCTTTACAGAAGCGCAGCGAGCGCAACAACAACTAACAAAAAATATAAGCAAAGCGTCAGAGACGATAAGGCGACGGAACGGACGAGAAGACGTATAACGACGGTTCCGTCATTCAGTCTGTTGTGTGAACGCGAACGTGACGTTTCCCAGTGGTGGTGGTGAAGATTGGCAGAAGTGGTGCTGCCTTTTAGAATTTGAATTTTTCAGCGTGGCCGTGTGTTCGATAACAGCTTCGTCGTGTTGGCCACAAATAGCAATCAATATAACTACAACGCTGGAGAAGAATTGTTGGATTTGGATACGACAGCCCTAATGTCGTTGCCAATGAATTCGCTGTACTCGCTCACTTGGGGCGATTACGGCACCTCTCTGGTATCGGCCATACAATTGTTGCGGTGTCATGGCGACCTGGTCGATTGCACACTGGCAGCGGGTGGACGCAGTTTTCCTGCCCACAAAATTGTATTGTGTGCCGCTTCACCGTTTCTTCTCGATTTGCTAAAGGTAAGTGCTACATAACCTCAAATTGTAAGCCAAATAAAAGAGTGGCATGCGTACAGTTTGTAAACAGAGAACTGCTATCCGTAGCATCTGCCAGAGGCCGTCCAAAATAGGTTAATGTGTGGAGCAGCGGCTCCCAAACATGCACACACACTCACCCACACACACACACATGCACTCGCACAGCAGCAATACTCAAAATGTTGCTCCTGGCCTAGCTTTGGCGCTCAGCCTCAATGCGCTGCTCAGCATTAACCGAAATACGTTGCATATCCATGAGCGTAGCAATGGGGTGTCCCAACACCTCGGATTGGAAACATAAATATTGTCCATGATTGATTCTTACTTCTGCATTTTAAAATCATATTCATATAAGATTGCGTAGGATATTATCATCTGGTATGATAATCTACTAAAGTATCATATGGTAAATTATCTTTGGTATTTCCAAGCCTATTTCTATTTCGATATAGATTTTAGTTCCACATTCTTATGAACTTTATGTCGCCCCAGCCAAAACTATACATTTGTTTATACGATACAGCTATAATTATCTAAAATGTATCATTAATTTTTATAAATTAAATTATTTATCAATATTATTAACAATGAACTAACTCAGTATAATATACTATGAAGTTGAATTTATTTTGAAATTTTATTAAGTGCCATTTTTCCCTATACTGTATGACCTTTATTATCTCCATAAAAATAAATTTAAAACGTATTGATGGAGGCGTATAAACGTAGATTAAAATGTATTGCATTATCTAATGGGGCCCCCCTTAAAAGAGATACAAGCTACGCCATTGTGTATGTCGTTTCCTACTTGGGTTTTTTCACGTTCTGCGCTTTCTTTTTGCCTTTGTGCTCCACCACGCTCCACCATTCTCCACAGCGCTGCCATTTTAGTTGCCTAGAGATTTCCTCGCAAGTTTTCAATTGTCAATTGAGTTGAATGAGTTGCGAGTTGCAGCTCACTCAGCAATGCTGCCTGTTTTTCAACTGGTTTCGACTTCGTATATATGTATGTATATGAATTTTTTTAACGCAATTTGTTATAAATTTATACTTACATGTTGCTGAGTGCAAAAGAGCGAGAGAGAGAGAGAAAGGGCAAGAGAGACAAAGAGTGAGCGCATGGGGAAGCAGACGGAAAAAGTTGCTAGCGAGCTTGGATGTGTAGGCTAGAGCGAGTGCGAACGAGAGCGCCAACAACTGGTTGGCGCATATCTTATTGTTGTTGCTCTTGTGGCTGGGGTGCACACGAGCACGACCTCTTTTCATACCCTGACCAAAAAAGCTCCACACCATTTGGCAGGATGTTTGTATGTTGTTGAAGGGCAGCTAAGAGTTGTAGCTTTGGATACAAAAAGTATTGCTGCCAAATTAAATCAGAATTTGTAGTTTGTGTGGTCGGAAAGGTTAGGGAACAATTTATAACGTTCTAAAACTATTCAGTAGAGAAAATCTATATCAATTTTCATTCATATTCCGTCATACTTTTTAATAATGAATGTTGCATGTATGTATGTATGGATGTATGTACATTTGTACTAGTAGTGGTATTATAGTTATTGGTAGTATTACTGATTTGACTATCATTTAGATAAGAGTAAGCAATGTTAGAGTAAGCAATGTTCGGTTTTGTGCCCTGTATGTTTTATTTATGTACATACCATATATACGAATGCTTGTATGCTGCTTGCTTTCGTTCGTTGCTACTTTTTTTTATACATATGTACATACAAGTCAGATATTTTTGGTAGACCGTACTGTACCTACGACGCTTTTGCTTCGCTTTTTCATATGCATGAAATATTTGCATTACATATTTACACCCATTTATACCTACATAAATATGTACAATAAATTGGAATTTCGATAGTTAGTAATGGCAAGTCGTAAGGCGAATGTTGTTGCCGCTTTAAAGCCAGCCTACATATTGCATTGCAATTGAAATTGCTGAAGTGGATCAGATTGTTGATGTTATTGTCGGCGAGCGACCCAAACAGAGCGTAGAAAACTACACCTCCCCGGAAAAAAATGTAAACAGAGCGTAATTTAAAAACGGCGCTCAGAGGCCGTTGCCGGCCGTCGCGTCGCACGTTGGGAAATGTCAAAAATTGGTTTGTGAACTCTGCAAGAAGAAGAGTCCAAGACGTGTACTGATCTCGCGACACTCTCACACTCACAGGCACACAAACACACGCTCGCATACATACCAATGCTCTTTGGCTCCCCCATTAAAGCCTCCTCATGAAATGCAACCACTCTGAAAAATCGATGAGCGTCAGAGTGGATGTGGTGCAGGAGAGGCGGTGGTGGTGGTGGTGAGACGGCAGTGGTGGTTGGTAATATACAATTCAACTACGAAAAAAGGGAGTAGAGTTCAAAGAGCGTCTGGTATGCGAGTTTGTTGGTGGTGTGAGTGCAGCGGAGCGACGAGAAGACAAGAACTAAAATAACGACAACATTTTCAAGAGATTAACAACAACATCAATGCTGACTGGACTAGAGGTGGGCATGGGTCGAGTTTTTGTTCGTGCATCATCGCAGCGCTGCGTACACACGATTACATGCGTGGCCGCAGTGTCCGTGTTAATGAGAAAGTCCCGAAAAAACATCTACGAACAAAAAAACATTCATTTGGGAAAAATTTAAATGTATCAATAAAATAATATATGTACTAGAAATCCACCGTAAGAAAAAGCTCGTATGATAAATACAAAACCAATTTCTAAAAATAAACAATTATTTTAAATTAGATACTTGATTATTCTTATAAAAATTTCTTATAATCGACTTAACGTATAATTAAACGAAATACATTGAACTTCTGAAAGCTATTTGCAGTTAGGTATTAACAATCATAATTTATCATTATCTTTTATTTTTATTTGTCCAATCGGTCTGATATTCTATACACCTTTTTGGTCAATGTTGTTGTTAGTTAAGCATGAATTTGTTTATTTCAATTTTTTTATTGGCATTTTGCACATTCTGTTAGAGATTTTATTAAAAAAAATTTATTCTTTTTATATTCGTGTATTCATAAATTTCGTATTTAAACAAAGCCGGCATGTGCCAATCTCTACACTAAACTAATGGTAATTTTAAGCTCACCTCTGGCGTTTTTGTGGTGTGTTGTTTGTCTCATGTCGCTCTAGACAAAAAGTACTAATTAAATGCTGAGCTGTAGGAGCGCGCGAGCGGGGTGCTCTTTCTTTCTGCAGCAGAGGCAGTCAGCATCCATCTCCATCCTGCTGCAGAGCGAGAAATTGTAAAAGCCGGTTTTTGGCGAGAGTATCTACAAAAGTATGAGTAATGTTGTATGTGTATATATATATATATATATATATATATATATATGTGTGTGTGTGATGTTTCTGAGTGAGTGTGTAATGTTTGTTTGTTTTGGCCCTCACTTGGCCGTGCTTTTGTCTCTGTTTTGAAATGGGCGCGCTCAGCTGCCGATTGATAAAATTCAAATAGTCTGCATTTATGCTTGTACATACATACATACATATATACATATTTGTGTGGGCATTTGTATGCTTTGAATAATTTGTGAAAAGTTGAAGATTAACTCCAATTTTATGATCCGCATGGTTATTTTAAAACAATACATACATCTGTGTATGTACATATAGAAATGTACAGCAAAAGGTCTTGAATAATTTTTATGATCAAACAATAAATTAAGCAAATGTGTTAAACGTAAATACGTTAATACGTAAAAAGTAAGCGATGCGCTGATCATTAAAAGGTCACAGAAATAAGTTAATAACTAAACCGGCTTAATGCAAGGATACATTGTCTTTTAATTATTGATACGAAAAAATTAATGCACCAACAAAAGACAATTCAATTAACAATAAATTTAAAATTTGTCTAGCAGATTAAATCTGTGTATGAACAAATATTTTAAGAAACACTGGCTGTTTTTTAATAGGTTCTACATATTTAGCAGTAAATGTAAATTAATGTTTATTTATTTTTAGTTGTGTGCACTAAAACGAATCGTAGAATTTGCTATTACTATTTGTTTGGTTTAGTAAGGGACACAATCTGCATGCAAATTCTTATCTCCATGGTTAAAAAGTGCGAGATTAGTACAGCAAGCACGGAAGAGTGAAAATATTGATTCGAATTTGATTGATAAGAAATATTTATTTAATAGATAATATTCGCTTATCATTACAAAGAGCAGAGTTTTTAAAATATGCTTCAATATATGCTTATACCAAAAAGCTGGTCTACCACAAACATTTTGTATAATAAATAAAATGAGCACTTTTATTGAAATAGTTCGTAAAAGAGAAATGTAAGGCTTGAGGTTGTTAAATTAAACAACTGAATTCTTCTCTTTTATTTATATTTATATATTTAAAATACTTTAGATTAATCACATTCAATGGGTAAATATTAATATTAAAACCTACAAATATTTTCGTTGTCATACACAGAACACACCATGCAAACATCCGGTGGTCATGTTGGCCGGCGTCAATGCCAACGATTTGGAGGCATTGCTTGAGTTCGTCTATCGGGGGGAGGTGAGCGTCGATCATGCGCAGTTGCCCTCACTGTTGCAGGCAGCTCAATGCCTTAATATCCAAGGCCTGGCACCCCAAACAGTGACAAAGGACGACTACACGACCCATTCGATACAACTGCAGCACATGATACCACAGCACCATGACCAGGACCAACTAATTGCGACAATTGCCGCGGCTCCCCAGCAAACTGTGCACGCACAGGTTGTTGAGGATATACACCACACCGGACAGATACTACAGGCCACACAGTCAAATGCAGGACAACAGGCAGCCACCGTGACTCTCGATACCAGCAAACATGATCAGGCAGTTATTCAGGCCTTCTTACCCGCACGCAAACGAAAGCCGCGCGGCAAGAAAATGTCACGTAAGTTTAACGCTCTTTAAACCCATCCAAAAGTCGGCTCACTAAGCTTAAGTTATCATCTGCAGCGACCGCATCGAAAATCAGCAAAGTTGACGGCATGGACACGATTATGGGAACACCGACCTCTTCACACGCAGCAGCCCAGCAGGTGGTTCAACAGCAAGTGCTAAGCGAAAACGGCGCCGAAACCCAACTGATCACCTCCACGCCGATCATCAAGAGCGAAGTGCAAAAAGTTGAGACAATTGTGACCATGGATCCGAACAATATGATACCGGTAACGTCGGCAAATGCGGCAACAGGCGAAATACAAACGTCCAGCGGCACGACAGGCACACCAAGCGGCAGCGGAGCCTCTGCAACGCCCAAATCCAAACGAACCAAACATCCGCCTGGCACAGAGAGTGAGTTAAATCGACACTTGATCAAAATATTTAAAAGGGAACTTTGCTCATTAATTGTACATTTTTTATAAAAAAGAACTTAAAAGAATTAAAGGCTAGTTTATGATAATTTTAATCAAATCAATCTCTCAGCAATTAAAGGTGTAGAAAGTTCCCTTTTTTAAGCATTAATTACAACCTTCCATTACTAACTATGAATATTGTTCGACCCTTTTAGAACCTCGATCACGGTCACAATCGGAACAACCCGCTACTTGCCCCATTTGTTATGCTGTCATCCGTCAATCCCGCAACTTGCGTCGCCATCTGGAGCTGCGGCACTTTGCCAAACCGGGCGTCAAAAAGGATAAGAAAAGTAAGTCCGGTAATGATAGCACACTAGACACCAGCGCCGAGCTTAATACCAGCAGCAACAACAACAGCGGATTGGCAAACACATCGGCAACATCTGCAGCGGCGACAGCAGCCACTAGCGGTGCGCCCACCAGCACCACACGTGTCATAGCCGGTAGCTCAAGTTCGGGTGGTGCTACCACTGTCTTGGCCAGCACTGTGTTGCCACAGCAGTCGCAGCAACAGCAACAGCAGCAACAACATCAGCAGCAACAGCAACTGCAACATCATCAGACGTCACAGCAACAACAACAACATTTGACTACAACAACACTTGCGACGCCGGGCGGCACACATGGGACGCACATAATTGGCGTGAATGTGAAGCATGAGGGTGGAGGTCAAGGTCAACAGTCCATGCAAAATATTATTCACATTGTTGGCGATCAGGTGTTTCTGCCGCAACAGCAGCAGCAACAGTAGCCATAATAGCCGTAGCAACAAAAATGCCTTCCCGCAACATCATTCCACTAAAACGCAAACTCACACAAATACACACCACACACACACACTCACTTATTCACACACACACACAATGTTTGTAAATAACAACAGAACCTGCAAAAGTACCCGACCAACAAAAATGAACGTTAAATGTTTCATTGACAAAAATTGACATTCATTTTAAATAATAATCTTTGTAAGTCATCCACAAACACATACACACATCTATATATACATATATTGTCAAAATTACTGTTTTTAATTTAATATTTAACATTGCAAATATTATGCAGTATTTTCTTGCATAGCGCTTCAAAATGCCTAATAACGCAATTACTTACATTTTTTTAACGATTTACATATATGATTTACTTATCGTAACGAATTTCACAATTATTTGTAATTTGTACAAAATAACAACAAACAGAACTCTTAACAAATTTTATACAAACACATAATATAAAATCAACAACGAGTTCTCGAAAATAAGTTTGTAAATTTCTCAGCTTTAATTTGAGCACACATTTCAATTGTAAGTTCAGTTTAAACACTTATAATACACATATATAGAAATTGTTCAATAAAAATATAATTTTTTATATAAACACACACAAGATTTGCAATTAATTTAAGTTGTTTTTTGTTTATATATTTGCATTGTTTTTACTGATTGGTTTGCAAAAAATGTTGTCCTCTTGACTGTTTCGCTAACACCATGTGCAAGAAAATACTGTATGTAGTTCAATTGTTTCGAACATTTATTAACAATTCAGGTTAACACACATTTTAAATGTAAATCGTTATTGTAAATTTAGAAAGTGTGTTAACTTTTGGCATTTCATATTCTTCTGTTTGTACTAACATGTATATTTTTCCTTTGTCCTTTGTTCATCTCATTAACCATTTCTAATTTCCATAAAACGACAAACAAACACATATACATAGATCCTAGATATAAATACTGCTACTATATACAACAATTCTTCTCATGTAGAGCGTAGGTCGTGCTGTTGTTGTAGTCAAATGGGTTTTGCGTCGCCACCCCACTTGTTCGCTCTGGTCTTCTGAACTCTTGTCTTCTACACATATTTTTGATGCTTGATGTTATTTCTTCACTGAACTGGTCATTCCTACCCGTTTTTTTACAGTACCCGGCGGAAAGAAACCCGGAGGCAGTTCAGGCCCAGGCAGCGGTCAGTCGGTGGGCAACAATCAAACCATAAGCAGCAGCTCAGTCAGCTCGGTGCCGCAGGTGCAGTCTGTGCAATCGTTGCACACGTTGCAGGGTGTGCAAGTCAAGAAGGATCCCGATGCGCAACAACAACAGCAGCAGCAACAGCAGCAACAACAGCAACAGCCGCAACAAACAATGACAGTGACCACAACAACGGCCGGCGGGCAAGTTCAACAACAACAGGTGCAGCAAGTGCAGGTGCAGCAGCAGCAGCAGCTGCAACACCACCAGATTATCGATCAGTCGGGCAACATAACCACCGCTACGACCAGTGCGCAGGCGGCGGCTCAGCAGCAGGCAGCAGCGGGACAGCAGTTGGTCGCGCAGGCCGATGGCACCGATAGCAACACATCCTTATCGATAGCTCAGGTGCAGACGCTGCAGGGTCATCAGATCATAGGCAATTTAAATCAGGTGAATATTACTGATTTTCAACAACAACAACAACAGCAGCAGCAACAACAACAACAACAACAGCAGCAGCAACAACAACAAACACAACCACAACAGACGCTCTGAATACTTGGACGATAAAGTAGTTGTAGTCGTACCTACTATGTAGTTCTAAATACCGCCTCCTATGTAATTTGATAGCCCTATAATCTTACTTCCCCCCCTCCCTTCCGCCACCCACAAAAATTGCCGTGTAAAAGGAAACTGCAGCCAAATTCTAAAGTTTTCTATAATCTTATGTCTAACTATTGTAGTTGTTAGTGGTAAACAGATGCCTGGAGTTTCGAGAATAATGTATCGGTGCTTCATTTTCGCTTCTCCTTAAAATATTTAAGTGCGTTTCAATTTTATTTCCTTATTCTATTCTAAAAACTCAACACTAATTTAGTTTTGTTTATATAAGTACTTTTAAATTTATTCTTGCTTAAGTGGATTGTGTGTTCAACGCACACAGTTCACAGTTCCATTGAAAATGTGTTTTGGAAGCAGGCGATAAACTCAAAAATGGTCAGACAGGTAAATAATTTGCCCAACAATTTTTATGATTTTAAAACTATGGCCTTACAAATATTCATTTAAAATACAAGTAAGCAACAATTTGCACTACTATAAAACTGTTTTGTCAATATATGAATGAATTTGTGTGCAAACTATTTGTCTGTCTGACCGCAGCATAAGCTACATTATGATTAGTCTGTCTTAGAAGGGCTCATTGAGGGAATTGTAGATCACTTGTTAATTATTTGCTAATAGTTTGATTAATCATTTGTGTGTCTAGGCAACACAACCCTCAGAAAATATTTAAGCGTATTTTAAATCAAGACGCCTATCAAGGAAGAAAATAGTAGTAAAGGATTCCCAACCATAATATGCCATACAAAAATGTTGGGAACAAATTAGTTGCAATAATTTATTTAGACCCTTTGAAAAAGTTACAACAATCAGTCAGAGAGTCAACAATCCAGATACTTGTCGATTCGAAAATTTTGGAGAACGTTTGAGGAAGTCATAAATAATGTCGCAAAGGGGACTGTGTTACTTCTTTCCATACTGAAATAGTTAATAACTGAATAATTTGCAATATTTCTGCAATATAACCCCATTATCCGGGGCCCTCGCCTTTCAATATGTGTTAAAAATTTATATATTTGGAGTTGCAGTTGACTCCATAACTAGCAACATCGTGTGCCTTTTGTAGTTGTGTGCTGCGTGCATTCTAAGCTAAATCAAAAACTATACACACTTTCGATTTTAAGATCTTCTTGCTTCTTATTCTTCTAAACTTAATGGCCAGGATCTATCGGTCGCAGTAAAGAAGTTCTCGAAGAGAAAGAAGCGATTGGGCCTTTTCTGCGAAAGCATTATGTAAAAAAGTAAAATTAAAAACAAAAACAAACAAATTAGAAAAATTAATAGTTAAAATTTTTTTAAAACGTAGAGCGCATTTTTGCTACCAAAAGTAAGCTATGTCCTGAAGATTAAGTGTTGTTTTACGAAAAGAGTTGGTTATCTTTATGATTACATATATGTATATTGTTGACCACTTAGTTGGTGTAGAGACAGTCCGGACCGATTTTTACTGTTTTTACACTTTTTTTTACCCTATTTAATTAACCTTAGCAAAAAATAATAAAATAAAAAAAAAAAACATATTTCAGATTTTAGGATTAAGTTTTTAGCCGTGGACCGCTATGCGTTCATTGATAAATTTTAAATATATTTCTTATTTTTATTAGTTGGAAATTTTTAATTTTCTAAACTCCTTACATTTAAATAAAATGCAATTTTATTTAAAAAAAAAAATAAAACACCAAAAATCTTTCAAAAACATGAAATTACAAAAATGTATTTATTTGGTATGGTTTTTTTGTGTGTTTTGGTTCTATTTTTGGTTACACATTTTACTTAACACTATCTATATTTGACAAATATTAGTTGCAGTTTTCTTTTGCTTTTCAATAAGCTTATGTACTTACTGTGATAATATAACTATAAGTTTTTACATTTCATGATTCCTAAATATTATTTAATTTAACAATCGCTTGTTTCTTGCTAACTGTGTATCGCGATTCTATTTTTCTGATATTCCTTTGTTTAAGAGATGAAATTATCTAATCTTTATATGTAGTTACCAGTACTTTATTAAACTTATGTTAAGCGATTATTTAAAGCCAAATTTTTAGAGATAGTAAGGTTTGTTTAAATCGTAGTCGGAATATCTATACTATAAAAAATGTTATCTGTTTATTTTGCTTTTTTCCTGAACGTCGCATTGTTCAGAACCACAAGATCTAGATCTAATTTGCTCTATTTTACAATAAGATTCTTCTTATCTGAGTTATAGTACGGCTATTGAAATGCTTGGTGCAAACAAAATGCTCCTAACTGACCAAATGTTTATGATAATCAAAATAGTTATCAGAAGATTAGAACAAATTTAATTAATTCTTTGCGATTCTGCAGATTTGGATATATTTTCAGGCATGATATAGATTTTAAAATCTGTTTTGGATTTAGTATGCCCTTTGGTCTTTCTTTGCAATAAAATGTTATTTTGCTTAGTCGATAATCTAAATATGATATAGCCGCTATAGCAACGATCATTGAATAATTCAAAAAGTGTTATTGATAGCTTGCAATTGATCAGTAGAACATAGAATATAGTAGGATGATTCTACAAATTTCAAAAACTTATTTCTATTTCCGTATATACAAAGTGCATATAGAATTTTCCCCACAAAGCTGACTCGAGACTTACAGAGACTCGTTCACATAACGTTATTGCTAATAAGTGCCACGCCCTCACCTGCATCTTCATACACATATGTATATAGCACATGCGTACACAAACACACGCACATACACATAATAGATCATTAACGAATCGTTTTTTATCTTGTCTTCTCTCTTTCACGCTGCCTCGTTAATAATAAAATAAAATAATTATCAAACTCACCATCTAACCAACAATATCGCAATTCACACAACAACAACATTCTATAAAATAAAATGTAGGGCAACAATAAGAACATTTTGGTAAAGAAGGTTTTCATTTTGAAAGGCGGTAATAATACGTAATGATGAGCCAACGATATGATCAGCGGCGCTGGAGGAGGCGGTGGGCAGCAGCAGCAGCAACAACAACAACAGCAGCAGCAGCAGCTTGGCAACGGCAACAACAACAGCGGCGCCATAGCAGCAGCAGCAGCGACGTCATCATCAGCAGCAGCAGCAGCACCAACAGCAGTGAGCAGCCACACGACAACGACAACCACAGCCATACGACGGAACGTTAATGCAACAGGAGCAGCGGCCTCAACAGCAACAACAACAAGTGGCAGCAGTTCGTTGCAACGTCGCATACTGCGCGGTCATGCCGCACAGACATCCAATGGCGAACGTGTGCTTCTCATCAATTACGTGCCACAACAGTCAGCAGCAGCAGCAACAACAACAACCACATCAACAGTTGTCCAGCATCAGCAGCAGCAGCAGCAGACGGCACAGTTGCCCACACGCAAAATTCTCCAAGCCAGAGCCTCGGCAGCGAATCACCAGCAGCAGCAGCAGCAACAACAGCAGCAGCAGCAGTCTGAAACGACAATACCAACACCGGTATCGTTCGCTGGCTTAGGCTCTGAAGTCACCGTTACATTGACGCGCACCAATCAGCGCGCAAGCGTAACAAGTGTAGCCGCTGGTCATATTGTACGAAATCAGCAACAGCAACAAACCTATCATCAAACATCAGGAGCAACCACACCAACGACAGCAACAACAACCGCCTTGCACGAGCTGCAACAGCAGACCCAGCAAGTGCAACACATTTCGGCCACAACAACAACACCACCGCCATTAGTCTTCACCTCAACACCACATCATCAGCAGCAACAGCAGCAGCAGCAACAACAACAACAGCAGCAGTCTCTTCATGCTGCTGGCATGCAAACAATCGAGCTGCAAGAGCAACAATTGCAAGAACACGAATATCATCGTGCCACCGAGCATCACCAACTCGTGCATGAGCAACAGCAGCAACAATCACAGCACATCATTATCGATCATCGTGTCTTGCAGCAACATCAGCATCAGCAGACAGATGAAGACCAACTGATCGAATATGATGCTGGCGACGGTGTTGTTATGGAAGACCACAATCAATCCCAACAGCAACATCATCAACTGGAAGCAGTCGATCAGCAACAGCAACAACATGAAGTTGTACAAGAGGTTTATCTGCAGTAAAGAATGTACGTAAATGTATATACAGAAGAGCTATTTAGACATGTAAGTCCTAGGTCTAGGTAAGTATTAATTTTGTGGTTTTATGAGCATTCAAAGTAAATGTTTAGATATACACCATTTAAGCAAGGTCTAAAGATAAATATGAATGTATGACTTGATAATAAGTGCAATTTTTTAAGCAATTGCGTGTCCATCAACCAAAATTTAAAACATGTTGTGCAATTAAAAAAAAACCGATGGATCCATTCAGCAGTTATTTTCGATTATTGATCACTTTTTTGGCATTGCCAATAGAAACTGATTCAATTTGCTGATTGAGGATTTGTGAAGTTGGCAATCACGATTGAAGCAAAATTATCGAACGATTGGTGCGACTATCGAAAGCATTATCGATTATCTGCAGATTGGAGCCATTCTTTTAAATAATGTTTGGCTAATTACAATAAAAGAGCTCCTTACAAACTTGTATTTATTTTTATCCATCCTACGTTTAGGTTTTAACAAAATTTTTATTTTATTTGTCATTTTGCATCAACATTTAAGTTACGAGTAATGCTCGTATTTAAAATTTTATCTAAAGCCTTGGGAGTTCATTTAGACCTCTTTAAGAGCCTTTTGTTTAATTCACTTTCTTTATAGTATCTAATACTTACTGTTACGAGATTATTTCAAGCTTAGCTGCTGGTTCAGTTTCAATTTAGAACATTTAATAGGGGAACAGAATAATTTCTATACTCAGAACTCAATGGGTAAAAAGGTATGCTAAGTAGTTTAGTGCGAATGTACACAGAACGCCAAAAGTATATATACCTAATTCTGTTTTTACACGGTAGATTGGTTCCAGAAACAACCGTGTAAAAAAGACATTGATCATATGCAAAAATAGGTGATTGCTTCCTTATCTCTAAAGAAATATATACAAGTATATAAAATTTTTAATTTTCAAACCGTGTTATATAAAAATCGTGTAAAAACAGAAATATATACAAGTATATAAAATTTTTAATTTTCAAACCGTGTTATATAAAAATCGTGTAAAAACAGAGCGTTTAAAAACAGAATTAGGTGTATATTCCTAAACAGAAGAAGAAGACGAGTGAATATAACCATATCCGTCTGTCTGTATGAACGCCGGGATCTCAGGCAGTGTAACAGCTAGACTAACTAAACTTGGTATTCAGATTCCCCTAAGCATTAAGAAGGTCGGGTCGCCCGATATAGGGACAGATTTTTCTTTGTGGGAGGGAGGCGTTATATATTTAATAATGTACGATCATTGTTTAACTCAACACAAATCAAAACTGTCAGTGTCTAGTTCTGCTGAGGTTTGCTTTCGACGCTTGTCCAGATTTCACAATACTTTCGAGATTTCTTTTCGCCACTAGCATGTATTGCACTCTATAGCACTATTTTAATTCATACAATTATATTTATCTGCGCCCTAATGGTTTTTTGTAAATAATAATATCATAAACAGCGTAGATTTTTAAAAATTTTAGTGGATATGTACTCGTACTTAGCAGCAGTTAAAAAATATTCACACACGTGAATGTATAAAACTTAGATATAGTACATTGTCTAACTTATATGGTTATTTATAAATATGCAGAAGAGTTTTGGCTGCAACTAAAAACATATTTCTCATATACAAATGGTTTTAAAGTTAGTGACGTATGTATGTTTAAAAAAAAATCAAATATAAATTAGTGGTATTTTACATAGGTATTTATATTTAACATAGGTATGTATTTTTGTACCACGCGACAGATGTGCTTCGAATGCAAAGGAAAAAAAAAAACGAACAACTACAATTAAGTTTTAATTTTAAAGTATTTAAAAATACGTATTTAAAATATAAATTGCTTATTTATTGTCAGATACAATTGTAAAATACTCTTTCAAGCTACAGTATTTCAACTTCAATTTATAAATATTGAACATATTATTGCATATAAACATAATTAAAATGCAGACACATTACAATTTAAAAATAAAACCGGATATACACATACTTATAAATATATAAATATACTTATAATTAAGAACTGTTGAAAAAGGAAAAATGCGCCCATGGTTACTGAAAATTAAATATGTTTTAACTCATAGGTTTGATGTAACCTTGTTTGGCACACGGCAATAAAAACAATGTGGTTTGTGTACTGAACGAAGGCTCATGACTTTCAATTCCTCCGGCAGGAGGGTGATATTTTAGGCAGTTAAAAAGTTTGGATAATTTCGTGATATCAGTAAATGGAGCAATCGCTAATTAATAACTAATCTGCAGTTGCTGTCAAATGTTTATCAATTATTGAAATGAATCGATGGGATATAAATCAGTCCCTTCTTTAGATTCGGAAGCTATTTCTGTTTCCTTATCTGCTCTTTTTTTTTTGTCTGTAAAAATTGGTATTCTTCCTGTTTACTTATTCTTTTGTCTATTCAGCATACTGGAGAAGAAGAAACTCCTAAGGTAAGTAAAAACAATTAGCTAACTATTATATGAAGTATAAATATTTTTTGATATATACAATTTTTGCTTTAAAATATTTTAACTATATTTGTTTCTACAAATCGAATCTTCTTTAAACAAAAAAACCTGAATCGAGTTACGATGTCGTTTCAGGTTTTAATTTGTTGCGATATACGGTTCCGTTTGTTACCTAAATTTAATTATTTTTAAAATGTTTTATTTAATTTAATTAAATTAAAAAGGCATACATTTAAATCGAAATTGTTAAGTTTGAGATCAATAAGATGAAGAATGCGTCCTCAATCAATTTTCAATAGTTTTTGTTCATGCCATAAATTACAGATGCCCGCGTGACGTAAAGACGGTAGAACCACAAGAATGCGTCACTTTGTTATAATAAGGTTGTTCTCAGTTCTGGTAAATAAAATAGAGTAGAACATTAAAATCGTGCCAGATCGATTCTGAAACACCCTTTACCTTACCCGGCTGCAGTCGTTCAACTAAAATAAATAATGTTGTACCAACAATTCCTATAACAATTACGTGTATAGTGTACCGATTTTGATTAAACCTTTCGAATACAGAGAAAAAAACTTGTTATACCTTTTTATACCCTGTACCTAAAAGGTTTTTTAACATATGGAGGGAGGGGCGAAGTTCATATATATTTGATCATTATGTCTGTCTTTGTGAATCAAAGAATCTCGGATCTTACCCAAACTCCCCTAAGCCCCAAGCAGGCCAAGTTCTACTCTAAATCGGCTTAAAGAATAGCGATGAACAGTTCCAGGCCCCTACAAAGTAGAAAATATTATTTCTTCTTACCGCTTCCAGATGATTTTCTGATTTATAACAAATTTGAAATGGCTTTAAAACATTGTTCTTCATCGCACCTTGATTTAAAAATAAACTCTCATTATAATATTTATTTTATAAAAGCATATTTATTTTTAACAATTATGTACATTTTAGGCTACAAATATTACAATCTATATGTTTGTTGTAACATTTTAAAGTGCCACTAAGTCATTGCAAATCATTTCTCACTAGCATTAATATGGATTTTCAAAAAAGTTGTTAATTTGTTTCAATCTACAAGAGAACTATACAATTATATATTCCTACTGATGCGGTCCCATAGCAAACAGTTTGCGGAGAAATTGGCAAAAAGATGTCAAAGAACTAAGTTTTCGTAGAAAACATTCAGGTTCTGTTAAACTTTTAATCAAATAAAACAAATTTCTGTACAAACTATTTGACTGTCCGCAGCTTTCAAGTTATTTTGTTTTTTTTAGGCCTACAAATGATTTGATGAGTAGAAGTTCCTTTAAAGTTATATATAATTAACAAATATAACATTCCACGTAGGCACATAACTACAAGTATCTTGTGAAAGGGTTTGGACGGATGTGAATCTTTCGTTGGCGAATCCGCCCGAACCCTGTTTCTAAGCAAATGAAATTTCTTGATGACGAAAATGCAATTTCAAAATTTTATTGTTCAACGTTATTTTATAACATTATTTGGACCTGCACATTCAAATTTGGTTTGTTATCTAATTGTTTAAGCATTTGTCGATATGAGACAATATAGACAATCATTATCTAATTTAATTCTTTTTCTTTTAAGCTGTCTAGCATTTCAATGTTGATCTATTTTTGTTTACCTTTGTCATAACTACATACATTTATTTTTGTTTTTATTTGAATTGAGAAACTGCACTTCGAAACTCTGAGTCACGTAACTATAACATTTGCTGTTCTAAGATATTTCATCGGGAAGACGATTTCTAGTAATTATCCCTTTAAGCTTTGATGTCTATAAGTCTATGGAAGTCAAACAATTTTAAAACTGTTTGGGTTTCTTTACTTTACACTAAAACTATTTGGAAAATTTGTCGGTTTTGGAATTATATTTTCTCAAAGCGGCTTCAAATAATAAATTTGCATTCCAGTTGTTGTATACTTGTATTTGTGTTTTATAAATAAGAAAAACTTAGAAACTTAACAATTAATATCTACAAATGGGCATTAGGTTGAAATCCAGGGTCTTTTGTTTTTGCATTGAATTGGTTTTCAATTTGAAATTATAGTTATCTAAGTGGGTACGAACGTCTTTTATTTGGCACTTCTCATCAATCGATTGCTGGCAAAGCATTCCCCAAAGAAGCGATCCAGCGAATGATACAGATGGGGACGAACATTGGCCAACGCATGATCTTCATCGGTATAGCTCTGTCGATGTATATAGAAAGATAGTTAGGTGGAACAAAAAGCAGCTGAGTGTCTGCACTTACAATCTGTTTGAACAGAATATCTTTGCGTTCCAGATTCTTGGCCAGAATCATTGCCTGCTGATAATGCACATTATCATCCAGAGTGCCGTGCACAAGCAAGTACTTCTTGCCGCGCAGCTTCTCGGCACGAGTACTTAAACGCGAGTTGGCATAGCTGGCTTCGTTTCCAATTGGCAGGCCCATGTAGCGTTCAGTATAAATGGAATCTACCAGATAGCAGACAACAAATTGAAATCAAGTTAACACAATGGTTATATTCTATAGTCACCATAATAGGTCCAGTCTGTGACCGGGGCTATTGAGGCAGCACACTTGAACACATTTGTTTCATCGTTGGCCAATGCCATGGCTGCCGCATAGCCGCCATAGCTCCAGCCCCAGATGCCTATATGTGAGGCATTAATGTAGTTGAATGTTTCCGTGAGTTTGCTGAAAAAATTTTATGAACAAGGGACCGATTTAGATCAGTTTATATGTATGTACATGTATCAAGAAGTGTCATTCAGTCTCTCGGTGTCAAGAGATTTATAACAACATTACTTTAATTTTGATTTATTTTTAAAATTTGTCAATATTTATATTTTTAATATTTTTTTTTTTTTTATTCTTTCTACATAAAATGCCTTAGATTGGAAAGGGTTTCACAATCAGGTTATTGCATGTCTTTTGAAGCTTGTTAAGAAGAGCAGTAATTGAGCCTTGACAAAAGCTGACCGGTACGAAACGAAAAGAAAAATACTGCTAAAGTACTTGATATCGAAAGAACATAGCTCCTGATCTACCTACACTAGCGTGAATGCATTTCTTCTGGAAATCAATTCTGCACTATTAATAAATAATTAATAAAAGCATAAGAATGGGTTTTCCGATATATGATTTTTTATCTGGGTGCGATAATTAAGCGGAATATATCTGACATAATCGCGTTCTCCTTTCCCAGCGATTCTTTGTTGTTAAATTCTAAAGCTTTCCTTATCGATTTTTCCTAGAAATGGTCATCTATTCTAATAATGAAACATATTTATAAACCTTCAATTTTTGTAGTTTTATTTATAAAACAAGAGAGCACGCTATAGTTGAACAAGAATGACAGTCAAATACCCTACGGTCACTGAGTTAGCGTGAGCAAAAGGAAGAAGAAGAGCGAACTTTATGGCATAGAACTGGAGTGAAATTGTTTCCCTAATAAGTTGTCTTAGAATCGGCCGATTTTAATGAAATTTAAAACGAAATTATATAATTATATAAAGATTACATGTGCAAAGTATTGATGAAATTCTATAGCGTGGAGAGGACAGACGGACGGACAGACGGACGAACATGTCTAGATCGATTCATCTCGTCGTACTTTATGATGTTGGAGATGCCTCATCTTTATTGTGAACAAAGCTCATTTTCGATATGTGTTCTATTCATATTTTCCTATTGTAGCTTATAGAACTTTATTCAAGTTTTGAAATAAATAAACAAAATTAAAATATATGTATTTTCCCTAGTGCAAATCTTTTTAAAGTACAAGAAATTTAAATTTCGCTGAAATATTTTCCATAACATCATTAAATGGATATTGGTTTGGATTTCGGTTGAAAGTAACTTCCACGATACTCCTGCATAGATAAGTACTTGTATATATCAACCACGTAACTTACCGAGTGACCGAAATTTGATCGGCAATCTCCACTGTACCCAGCTTCAGATAAATGGCATTCAAAAGCTTCTCACCACGCATGCCCGAGCCGCGTCCATCGATCTTGGCATAAATGACCGACTGATTGGAGGACAGGTAGGTGCCCCAGTCTATGGACCATTTGTTGTTTACCTGCAGGAAAAACAAGAAGCAAATTCAATGAAGGACGTAACGCTTGAAGAATGTCACCCACATAGAATGAATCGGGACCTCCATAGACATCTACAAGCATCGGATATTTCGTATTTCCGCTGCGATCCAAGTTGGGGGGCAGCTGCAACAACACCTTGGCCGTAAACCCGTCCTCTATGCTAAAGGTGTGTATCTCGTGCGTGGGCAATGCCACGCCCTCAAGATCTTTACGTAACTGCGCATTGGTCTCCCAGTCCAGCAGCTTGGTAAGTGTGACCTGAGCTGTAATTGGAAAAGATAACTAATGAGCACCTCGTACTATTTGTCGTGCCTTGTGGTACTCACAATTCGCATAGCTCCATTCGTAGATGGCTGTTGTGGGTATTCCCGGACCCAGAGAGGTTATCACAATTTGATTATTGTCGTTGAAAATGGCCGCAAAGTAATTCTGTTCGACACTGCCCGATGTCATCAACTTGCAGGTCAGGCACTTGGGCTCCTGCTTGCTTGTGGTCAGAGCCCGTATGGCATAGAGATGCAGCTGCTCCGAGTTCTGTGGCGTGTTGGCCAAATAGAAGATGAGATCGTGGCTGACATCCCAGTGCAGTATGCTGTCCACCACAAAATTTCCCTCGGTCAGGGCTTCAGGTTGTTGCTGCTCGGGGCTGGTAATTGTGGTTGACAGCAACGTTATGTGTTTGTAGTTGTTGTGTGGCAGTATAAAGGCAATACGCGATGCGTCTCGATTCTTGAAAGGTGCGGTATAAAGATCTACCCAACTTGTTTTCGATTCGATGCTGTATAGCTGAAAATATACAAAAAAAAAAAGTCTAAATTATAGCCTCAAAGTTTCTGTGACTATGGTTCCAGATTATTCTGTTTATGTTTTTGGTGGTAAGGTTTCGAGTTTCTAGCGACGGACAATTTAAAAAAATTCTCATCTCGTAAACAGAACTAGATGATTTAGATAATTTTCATAAATCCATTAAATCTCCAGCTTAAATTTCCAATATCTTTATAATTTCAAAATTGACCTTATTTTAATTTCAAATGTTGAAAATATTTTTATAATTTACACTCATTTACTTTTGGAGAAACGTGGTGTTTATTTGTATTTACATCACCTTTCTTCTAAGTATGACACTTCCAGACTTTTAAAAAAATCTTTCACTTTATAATTTTCATTTTTATAGCCTGTACCCAAAAAAAGGCTATATTAGTTTTGTGCGAATGTATGTAACACACAGAGAAGGAGGTGTTGCAGACCCCACAAAGTATATATATTATTGGATATTATCAGGATGACAAGTCGAGTCGATATAGCCATGTCTATCTGTCCATCCGTCCGTGCGTCCGACCGTCTGTCTGTATGAGCGCAATGATTTCAGTAAGTACAAAAGCTAGGATAACCAAACTTGGTATTCAGGTTCCTCTAAGTTCTATGCAGATCGAGTTTGTGTTTTTTATACCCTGTACCCGTAGGGTAAAAAGGGTATATTAGGTTTGTGCAAAGTATGTAACATGCAGAAGGAAGCATCTCCGACCCCATAAAGTATAACCTCCCCAAACTGCAGCAACAAGTTCGCTCTTCTTCTTCCTCTTTTTGCTGCTGCTATGGGCGCATATAACTCAGTGACGGAAGTTTACCTAGGTACAGGGTATTACACTGTCGGGCTTGCTCGACTGTAGCGTTCTCTCTTGTTTTAATAATAATTTAATTTTGTTTAATACTTTTTTAAATTTTTTATTTTTTGTGGAGAGTGCAGGCTATTTTACTGTCGGCCTTGCTCGACTGTAGCGTTCTCTCTTTTTTTTTTTTTGACTGCTTATTCCTAAAGCGTTCTACTTAGGGATTATTGATTTTTTTTTACATTATTGAACATCTAATTTTAATTCGTTTTTTGCTTTGATATTTCTTTACGATTTCTTTTATGGTATACTTCTATTGTTTTTGATGGAAAAATATTTCTTAGGGAACTTGCATTAAAAAAAAGTCACTTTATTATCGTTCCAATGTTGAACAGTTTTCAAAATGTATATCGTGGCTTTAACTTTCACTCACCACCTTCCGATTGAGATCATTAGCGATGTCCACATAGGCGGCATTCTGTATGCGATTCATCCATGTGGAGAGCACGTGTGTATCATTCATCCAACTCACGACCGTAATAATATAATCCGTTTCGGTGTTCAGTGCACTCGGCACTGGTATTTCCGTAAGGAACTCGTTACCATTAACAGCGCGTTCCAGATTGGCTAAAAATAGCTGTACACGGGGATTGGATGAGCCTGCCTTGGGATAGGCAATGGCACGGCGCCACGGATACTGAAAGTCCAAGTTGCCCGCCTCGCCATAGACCTGAATGTCCATCACATGGGTGGGTGAATCGTCGAAACGAATGAATGCGATCTGTGTGCCCGCTGGATTGAACCAAGTGGCCACATTGGAGCCGAACACCTCCTCCTCGTACACCCAATCGGGTATGCCGTTCAAGAACACAGGATTCGTATCGCTGGTGATGGCAACTTCCTGCTGCAAAGCGCTTGGCTTATAGTATAGGTTGCGCTCGTAATTGATGATCAGTCCATTGCCCACCGGGGCCCATTGGACCATGCTGAGGAAACGCTGTTCGTTCTGTATGGTCAGCGGATTGATCGCGCCTGAACTGATATTATAGATATCGTATTCCGCATTGAAGCTATAGCGAAAGATTTTCTGGCGGTTTTTGGCCAACAACAGTAGCTGGCCATCGGCCGATTTCTCGAAGAGCACATACTGATATGCATCCACCAGCAATACAGTGCGCTGGTTCGTCTTCGTATCCAACTCAACGATGGCCTGCCATGGAATTCTGTTAAGTAATGCCAAGGGTATCTAGTACAGATAATTTACTTACCGCATTGTGTTTGAATATCACGTTGGTGTCACTGCTCCAGCTGCCGTTGAAGCTTTTGGCATAGTACTGTTGCGTAAGTACATCATCCAAATTGATGGAGTTATCGCCTCCATGGTGGCCATCGCTGCTGTTATCATCGTCCGAATTCAGAAGGAAGACCAGCGCAACAGCCAGAAGGGCCAGCGCAAAAATAACCGCAACAACCGTCAGGATAAGACGCAGCTTGCGTTTCTTTGCCGGCGAATATTCCGGACTCTGAAAGATTTACAAAGTTAACATGATTCTTGCGACCGCTTAGAATAAATCTACAAAGTAATGGGATATGACTGAGGTGGATAGAAGGTAGATCTGGACGATCTAGACAGTTCTCTACTGTACACTTATATGCTGTGTAATACAATTGTTAAACTATTTGCATGGGAGAATGGATAAGTAAATGGAACCTAAGGCAGAGTAAGACAATTTTCCTTCCTAACATTACATAGTTTTAAGTCGCCTGCAGTACTATGAGTACTGAAGACACCAAAGTGCTGGGGAAAATACTAGGGTCTGTCTATTTTCCATATAATATATGATTTTAATCTATTTGCTTTGAATGATGGACCAGTAAATGGAACCTTTGGCTTCGTTTTCTATCACGGCTTAAAGAAATCCAACCCGGACAACAATTAAATTATATGAATCGGAAATACCGAAGAATTTGTTTTTTTCAGCAGTCATTTTAAGGCATGATTGTCAATTTCTATTTAAGCTAGTTACTTGGGGGTTTCTATAGAAACTGGTTTTGATTAAAGAACTTATTGATTTTGACTTAAAACTGTGATTCCCACATATCAATTATATTAACGATATGTAATGTATATCAAACGTATGATTTCAAAATTCTTCCCTAACTTCACTAACTAGCTTCTTTACCTATTTTTTAACAAACAAATTTAATTAACTGGCTATCATAACTGGCAGACTTGTTCCCTTTTTTCCCATTTTTTTTTAAGTGTTAAGTGGCGACTGGCGATATAATGCACCAACTTAGCTCTTCAACTTTTTTTTTTGTTTGCATACTATAGCTTGTTTTAATTGATTTTTTTAAAGCTTTTTTTTAAAGCTGAAAAATTGTCGGCAATATTCATGCTAACCGATTAGTAAGTCACTACTGGCATTATTGAATGTGAAAGATGAAAGGCTGCAATAGGTTGTTACATCTCCAGATCCTTATAACCAAGACAGAATTTTATATGAACTCTTGCATTTTGGGAAGAATGAGGATGGCATGACTTCTGCCATTATGGAAATAAGGAAGAAATATGAAGCATATAACACTTTCTATGCAACTGCCTTACAGCAAACGAACCCAATATCTCGGCAAACCATTCAACGAAGACGTGGACTGTCTGTCAAAGCTAACACTGAGGATCTGACCCTTTATATTGATTCTACACCATAGTTTCAAAAACCCATTTCCCATCAAAATCAGGCACCAAAATAGGCAAATTCTTAGGCCCTTGGGTAAAATTGGTCGAGCGATTTGTGTAAACAACCGATCAACCAATTTATTTTAAGCTTTTGACAAATTCTCAAAGCGAACTTGAAGCAGTAACTTGTCAGAATTTAATACTGTGTACCTGTAGCCAATTAGTGTTGGTTTCTTTTTTTTTCAATTGTCTCTTGAGTACTTAAAAAAAGAAGATTGAAGTACTGGAAATTTGCTTTATACGTTTGAGGGGAATTCTAAAAACTGCGCACACAATTGCGATCACAAAGCATTCGACAGCAACAGATAGCTTATTTGGCAAACTATTCTTCCATTTCAATGCAACACGCATTTCAGCAATTGTTTTGCAGCAATTACAAGTTCGGGCACGTAGTCGAGTCTTTGCATATTCGAAATCGTAGAGTGTTGCGCATGCGCAACCCAATCATTATGTACTTTTTTTCCACGCGCCAACAACGCGAAATGCATACGAGAAAGAAAACATGAAATGAAAATAAAGGCGAAATTGCAGACAAAAAATGAAAGTAGTTTTTATTCAAGCATAATAAACTAACCGGCCTGGACGAGAAGCTGATGGCGAACTGGTTTACAGACTGGCCGGTGAAAGAGCTGTCCAGACTCACAATTGCCTCAAGTGTTCCGCATGACGTAAGCCAACAAATTCGCTTGTTATTCAGAAATGCTCGGACAACTCGCATTGTTTATATAATTACAATCAGACAACTTGAAAATGTCTGCTCCAACCGAAGTTAATTGTAACAGTTTGTATTATTTCGCAATTCTCAATCGTCGTTGAAATTGTTAATTAAATCAAATGTGTTTTGGGTCGAGCAATCAATGCATGTCAACAAACGTGAAAAAGACGCAAACATTTGTCAACATTTCTGTCAATTATTATGGGATTTTGTTTACCACCAAGGTCAAATGTTATTTATTGTACAATTTCAATCAATCGAAAATGACAATTGCTATTTGCGCTTCGGTTTTGTTCGCCATTTGAACAATGACTGGGTTATACTTAATGCGATGCTTGAGTTATGGTAACTGGTTGTGGCCTCAATAAATAAAACTGTCAACTAATGTACAGTTTACAAATAAGACAAAAAGCAACTCTTCACAAGGGGAAAAGTGAGAGAATAGGCTTAACTATTTGTAAACATTTTATAAATGGAGTGAGAACAAGTTTATCTTACATATTTATGATCAGCAAGAAATCAGAAATTGCCATGCCTGTCTCAATCATAAGACTTCCTTTTGTTGGACACAGGTAATACTTAGTTCGAGACTTAGTTATACTTAATGCGATGCTTGAGTTATGGTAACTGGTTGTGGCCTCAATAAATAAAACTGCCAACTAATGTACAGTTTACAAATAAGACATAAAAAAAGTGAGAGAATAGGCTTTACTACTTATATTTAACCATTTTATAATTCGAGTGAGAACAAGTTTATCTTTGGAACTATTTTATAGTTACATACTTAAATATGTATGATCAGGAAGCCTGACAGCAATCCCAATAGCGATGTCTGTCTTGATCTTCAGACTTCCTATTATAATTCATCCAGCTGTCATTGAAACAAAGTGATTTAATATTTGAATATTTTCGAAGATATGGTAGTCATCGTGAATGCTGACCATCGATGACAAATGCAAAATAAGTAAAAATGATTTCTAATGACAGATAAGATACTTAGTATGGAATCGGTTGAATATAAAGTTCATGGTCCATGATCATCAAAGAATAAAGTTTTTATTTGCAGACACAGTGAGGGGTATAAGTATAGCTTCGCCGCAGATTAAGCACTGTTTTTAGAAACTGTAAAGGCTTATTATACTTTTTTATAAAATTTTAAAATTGCACAGCTATTTTAATTTATAGACTTGCTATCATTTTATATACAGTATATTTTGCTTAGCTGCACCGATACTTAGCTGCATCGGCAAGATAGCTGCCTCAAATTTTCTTTTGGCAGCATTTAGAGATGATTTTGTATCCAAATAATTACGTTTAATAGCTTTGGCACTTAAGCGCCTCATATCGGCAGTCAATTTTTGCCATTTCTATGAATACTACAACTATAAAAGTTAGCTGCGCCATCTTTGATCTGTTTTTATACTCCCTACCTCCCTCCCTCCCCCTTTCCAACGCAATTAGCCAACAATTTCATGTGAGACAAATTGCATGAAACGAAATACGTATGGCAGGCGCGGGAGCGGATTTACAGTTATGATTTTTGATTCCTTGCTTTCACTTTTACATTCTTCAAGAGAGCATTCTGCTTGCAGCTGCAATGCAAGGCTTAGTTTTTCTCGACCTGTTGAACGCGTCGCGCCGTTTGTTTGGAGTTGCCGGTAACTCTGAGAAAATGTTTAATTAATAGTTTAAATATTAGAAATATTATGTCAAAGCATATGTGCATATTAAGTTGTGTGTAAAGTGTTCATAATATGTGTTTATTAATGCGAGAATACTGCGCGATTAATGTGCTGCGCACATACATACATACTTAAGTGTGTATGTGTGTGTTCGTGATTTCAAATAAATTGCGCAGTGCCTCAATTTTTGTTTTTATTTTTTTTAGTGTTTATAAATATGATTTAAATAAGTAAATGTGTTCAATTTGAAAATCATGTTTAATTAAATCGATCGCAATTAATCTGTATGCAAAGGTAAGTACGCAGCGATTTATATTAATGATTTTTAAATTTTTTTTTTATGTATGCATATGTGCATACACACGTATGAATAGAGTTCACTCACATAACAGACACAAAAAAGAAAGAAAGAAAAAACTCAATTAACAGAACTTGCCGAATGTGTTGTATAACAGATTGCGAACTTGCTTACATTTGTGTGTTGAGTCTGTTGTATGAAGACATGCCAATAAGTTGGCGTTTGGGTGGTCGAGCGCCCCAACTTGTCGCAAAGGACCAAGAGAGCGCAGTTAGATCAATCAGAAAAGCAAGAGAGAGTACGTATTCTCTTAAAAAAATGTAAGGTAATGAAGTAAGCATGGAAGACACAATTATACTTAATAAATAATTGGCAAGTCGAGACAATTCCTTTTATACGGTATTTGCACAATTAAAGAAGTTACGATTAATAGTTATAATCATAATATGAAACAACAACTGGTCGCTGTGGATCTTTGGGCTTTGTAGGAAAATTTACAGAGTATTTTAATGCAATTTGAAGCAAGTTAAAAGATTAAATATCAATTTAATTACTGAAACCGCAAATTAATTATGTATGTACATATAATAACCAATAACAAATACAACTTCATACAAGTATATTGTCAATAAACCGCGAAAGATAAAAATTTTACTTAAAAATTAAAGTTATGTTTGCTGCCTTTGAAGGACAGCTGCCTCAAGCAAAGTATACTGTAATGTAACATTTTTTAAATAACAGTTTGGTTTTATTATTAGTAATAATTGCTTACATAAATTATAGATTTATCATTAGTTTCTTGCTCTAACTGAATACGAAATACGCTTTTGCGTCAAACAAATTATGACTCAATGAGCACCAAACACGCGTGGAACAAAAGTTAAACAATATAAAAACAAATTTGTTGGTGTCCCATTTTAAGTTGTCATTAAACGGAATATAGTTGAACGATTTTTAATAAAACAGTGTTTGGAATAAAAACACAAGTTTATTTAAAAAAGAACGCTTTTTCTTTTCCTGTCTTTCTTTCCTATTCAACGAACTACTTGTACATAAAAGCGCCTTCGGAACATTTATTTGAACTATGT